GGAGAAAGAAACAGAAAGAAACTGAATGAAATCTATGATGACTTTTGGATTAAAAAGATGGCAGTTGAAGAATGGATAGTTAAGCATTTCAAATTTACTAAAGATGTTATGAATAGTGAAAACAACATAGCATATACAAATATTAGATGTGAGGCAGTATCCAATGAGATTAGAAAAAGATTAGGTAAAACATGCAAATATGAAATTGGAGAAATCTTAATATGCAGACTTTACAAAAAGGACAAGGAAGGAAAACTGAATGTTAATATTAGGTGGAAGGTTGTTAATAACGAAGGATACAAGATAACAATACAAGATATCAAGGATGCAGAGAACATTAGAACACTTGACATTGATATTGTAGATAAGCATTTTAGATATGCCTACTGTGCTACCACTCATAGCAGACAGGGGACATCAATCAGTGATAATATGACCATTCACGAATGGAACAAAGATTATTTAGTTTGTAGGGAATGGTTGTGGACGAGTATCACACGAGCGAGGGATTTTAACAATGTCTATTTTTACAAGAACAAAGAGGGAGATGAAGATATGTTTAAGAGTTTGGTAATCAACTATTTTAAAAACAAAGTTGAAGGATATAAACAGCAAGATAGAGTAGCAAAAAGAGAAATAGACGAAGAGCAATACATTGACGAAAACTGGTGCTTAAAATACTTCAAATCCTGTTGCCAAAACTGCGGAATTAAATTTAATCTAGATACAAGAGGAGGAAAAATAAGTTCTAACTTCACTGCTCAACGTTGTGATAATGAGTTATGCCACACAGTTGAAAACTGCACCGCCTTTTGTGTCTATTGCAATTGCAGCGCGTCATGAATAATTTTGAAAATGAGTTTTTCAAAATTATTTTATTAACTTAATTAATGAGTTCAACACAAGAAATTATCAAGAGTGTATATTATGATAGAAGCGGTTATGGTTCAAAACAAACAACCCTCAAGGATGCTAAGCAAAAAGATAGTAGTATTACAATAAACGATATTAATGAATTCTTTAGTAAAAATGTAGAAGAAAAAAGAAAGATGAGAGGTGAAAATAGTTTTATTGCTCCGCATAGTTTCTGGGAATTTCAAGTTGATATGTTTTTCATTTCTAAAAATGATTTGGAAAATCAAACATTTAGAATTGGAATGATATGCATTGATATATTTAGCAAATATATGCATATCGTGCCTATCAAGTCAAAGCAACCGCCAGACATTTTAGCAGGAATGATGGAGAATATCAATAAGATGGGTGGCAAACCGAAATTAATTTATACCGACGAGGAAGGCAGTTTTTTTAATCAATCAGTATTAGATTATTTGAAGGAGGAGAAAATTGAATTACATAGAACTAGAGGTCATCCAGCATTTGCGGAGCGTGGAATTCAGACTTTTAAAGATCAACTGTTTAAACGAGTTGAAGCGGACAAGAAAAATGGAAAGCAGAATATCCAATGGACGGATTATATTTTTGAAATATTATTAACTTACAATAATAAGAATATTCATTCCGCAACTAAATTTACACCGAAGGACGCAAGAATGAAAAAGAATGAATTTGAAGTAAAAATGAATATTACAATGCAAGCAAGAAATACTAGAAAATACCCTGAGTTGTCAGTGGGTAGTAATGTAAAAATAATGAGAAAGAAAGGCATAAGCGAAAAGGCACATACCAGTCATTGGTTAAAAGAAGTATTTAAAGTAAAATCAATTGATAGTAAATTAGGGCAATCTTACTTTCATTTGGAAGGAAAAACTAGTCCTTATTTGAGACACGAATTATTGAAAGTTTAATATTAAACGAAATACAGTTAAAGAAAAAACGCCTTATATTATTAGTGAAATGTTATTTAATTATTCAAATTGCGAATGTTGTACAACTAAAAGGAATGATGTTAATATAACATTGTATAAGTTATTACCTGCTAATCTATGTAATAAAATAAGTGAATATAATGTATACTGCAATCAATGCTGTATAACAAGAGACCTTGAAAAGTTTTTTCTTGAAGAACATAAGGACAAGGGATATACAAAGTTTCAATTACAGTTAAAATTCTTTATGCGACACCAAGCAAGATTTCCTATACACTTTTACCAGAAGATTTCCAGAAAGTCATATGAAAATGAAATTGATGAATTCTTTAGTAATATAGATTTAATTAGGAGGTTTGGAGGAATAAACGCAATTAAACCATACAAAGCATTTGTCAAAAAATACCGTTATTTGTTTGAATGGATTGACTGGCATTTATTAGACAAAGATAAAATAAACGAAGTCTTGAACGAATTTAGAGTAACTGAATATAGTATATGGTATTACTACAACACTAAATATAAAGTATGTCTATTGTTGTATTTATTCTTTTGGGAATATATTTATTCAATAATAGGAAAAGAAAATATCAAATATATATACATTGGTGATATAGATAAATATGTAGATTACATATTTGAAGACATATTGCCTGACCATTATTTTAATCCATAAACCTTACAATAAAAAAACATTGTAAGATTTATGATTTCAAAATGACTTGAAGAAATAATAACTTAATATATTATAGTGAAATGAGTGATACAGTCGGTATCAATGCTAAAAATATATTGAAAGACAAATTTATGAGTTATAAATGCGATGACTGTGAAATGCTAAAATTACCAATTGAACGGGGTTTTGCAAATGGTGTTTGTAATACTATTTGTCAATATATAATATGCAATAATTGCAATAGAATTATAAAAAAAATTGATGATATGAATAACAAGGATATTGATATTATAAATAATGAAACTATTGATGATGATTTAGAAATATTTGTATTTATTGAAATGAATAATTTCTTAACTATAGAAGGATTTGATAATTTATTAGAATGTAACGACGAAGGATATAATAATGATTTTATTTTTAAGTATTATAGTATTGTAAAACAATTATACAATATGTCTTTTAATATTAAACGTTTAAAATATGTTGTATTGTTTGATTTTTTAAATGAGTTTTTAAATGATGAGTATAAAACTCACGAACTTAGATATACAATAAAACGTGCGATTGGAATAATGGGAATGTTTAGAAAACAAATAAAAAATAATTTTTATAATGAAACAACATGTGACAAAATAATAGAAAGAATTAAATTAATAATTTAGTTTTAGGCGAAATAGTCCTAAAGAAAAAACACCTTATATTAATAGTGAAGAAATGAACGGTATTGAAATCAATAAGTATATTAATAAGAAATGCTACGACTGTTGCCACTTTAAAAAAGAAAATATGGAATTGTATAAATTAAATTTACCTAATGGAATAATAAATAATATTATTGATTATGCTTTGGGTGAAGAAGATTTATGCGAAAATTGTAAAACCTGGAGAGATAACCAAGCTATAATCAAATGTTTGTTGAGATTAAAAGGAAGACATAATAGAAATGTAGAAGATGACATTTTGATATTTTTAACTGTGTATAAATTACCACCTTACGTTTATGTTAAACAGTTTCTTAAAATCAGTAAGAAAAAATATGAAATGATTTATGATATATTAAGGATGTTGTGTCATAGTCAAAAGAAAGGAGATGATATTAAAGAATATATCAAATTTTATATTGAAATTTATAAAAAGTTTAATGTTAAAAACACAGTGAGAGATATTAATATTATTTTTAAAATGATGTATGAAATAAATGAGATTTGTCAATTAAATTATTATCCTGAACTTAAATTATAAATTACACCATAAACCTTACAATAAAAAAACATTGTAAGATTTATGTTTTGAAATTATGGGGATTTTGGGATTTGGGATTTTGGAAAAATATATTTTGGGAATTTGGGATTTTTAAGATGGTCTGGTCTTAAAGACATGCCACCTATCAATAGTAGCATGGAGATGACTGACAAAATGCAAAAATGTAGGCGATGTGAAAACACTTATCCCCCTGACCTATTTAATGTTAGAGTGCATATTTGTGATTACTGCCGAGAACAAAGTAAAATTGATAGGAAGGAAAAGAAAAAAGAATATAATAAAGTGCGTAATCAGATTGAAATAGAATGTGACATTTGCCAGTGTAAAGTGAGGAAATCTGCAATGTCCAAGCATTTGAAAACACAGAAGCATATTGAGAATGAGAATAAAGTAAAAACAACAGTTGAGGAAGAAAAACCTAATGAAATTGAAAATTCAAAACCTCCAGTAGCACCAGAGGTCAAAAAGGAAATGGAGGAAGTGAAGGACAAAGTTTTTCAAATTGTAGGTGAATTACCCTTTCTGGAAAATTATTTCATTTCAGCATATTCCGTGAGGAATTCTGCAATTATTCAAATTATGAAATAATATGATTTAAATTTTAACCATGAACTTTACAATAAGAATATTGTAAAATTTATGATTTATATTTCTTCGGAAAATGATAATTTTGTAAAATAATATTTTTGAAAATTTAGAAAAATATTTACAAAATTTATGTATCAAATCTTGAGTTGAGGTTCTGTTATGAATTGATGAAAAAATATTATGTGAATTGGTCGGTTGAGGGGATTTTATCTAACTGGGGCCTGGCCTTTGGTAGGTCTTTGTAGGATCCACATGCAGGGAATTGAGATAGCTATCCTTGATCATCATGGGGGCTCCTCTTGGAGTGGAACCATGACCATTTCCTGCTAGGAATTCCCCCCCCCCGTAGATTGGATTGGATAGCTCAGCCGGTGTAGGAGGGTTTTGCACTGAACCAGCAACGGCAGGGGCATAAATTTTTCAACCACCAGTTTCGCAAGTGGTCATCGGGCAGCACGTGGCAAAGCCGAGCTGTAGCAGGGGAAAGCCTCTTGGAGCTGTAGATCCTCTGCTTCTTGCCGAGTTGTTCTTCCCCCACAGCTGGAAGTTAATTATTGGCTCTCTGCCAAGACAGGCTCTAGGTTCCCGTCAAACTTTGCTGGCTTTCCCAGATTTGAGCAAATCCCTGGTTTTTCGCGCAGGCGGAGCTTCTTTGAGGGGGACGCTTTCCATGCCAAAGACTTCCATGGCCACCTGCGAGCCGTGGATGTGCCTGACAACTTCAAAGCAGAGTTTCTTGACCTGACCTCTTGCTGGTTCTTAGTACCTGGATGTTCCAGCACCTCTTGCTGGTATCTGAGGTTTAGGATGCTTTCCTTTCTTGCTACCGTGAGGGTTGGTTTGCCAAAAGTCAGCTGGAAGTTCGGGGCCGAAGTAAGCCCAGGCCACTCGGAGGGCCAAAGCTTGCAGTAGCGGAAATCAGCGAGACTTGTCCAGCGCCCAAGCTTCCAAGGACGTGAAACGGGTTTCCTAGTGGAAAGACCCTGCTTCACCTGGGCAGCGTATGAAATCAGGAAAGTCCCAAAAGTCTCACTCCTAAGCTCATGGCCTTTAAACCTTTTGGACAACCAGTTTAGTGGTAAACCAAAAGTTCAGACATTTTCGGGCCAGGCCATTCAGGAAGTGAGGAATGGGTGGTTACCCTTTTACTTCCCTTCAAACTTAAGCCGGCCAAAAAAGGATACTGAGCACTGAGCCTCAACAACAAACACGGCATGTGTCGACACTCTCTGCCACGCCCAACGCACCAGGTCAACCCCTTGACTAATGGCACTTGGAAGAATTTGTTTGTTTCCCAACAGCTAAAAGGGTCTTTGCCCAGGGAGAGTTTGAAAGGGTTCTAGGGTCCCAGGTTCGGTAAGGGTCTTGTTGTTCCCCTTGCTTTTTGGGGTGTTAGCTAGGTCCCAGTGCCCTTTTGCCCCTTGGATGTTTCCCTTATGCGCTTATTTGCCATCAACCAGCCTGGTTCATTCGTCCGAATAGGGAGCAGAATCTGGAAATCTCATTGTACTTGTGGATCAAAGGGGGGCCGAAGAGGGTCTCTATCAGAGCAAACACGTCTTCCAGTTGGTCTGTTTCAGGTTCCATGCTGGCTTGTGTTGCTGGGTCTTCGCAGGGAATTCCATGGAGTTTTGGGATTGGTCCCACGGATCCACGAAAACAGGGCTTCCTGAGAACAGCAACCATTTGGTGCCCTGTTGGTGGGGCTGCATAAGCCAGAAATGAAAAAACCAGCCTTTTTGGAGGAACTTACCCTATTTGGGGACAAACTCGATTACAGGGCACTTGTATTTAGATGCATAACGAGTGCCTTCGAGGGTTGAGCCCGTAGCGCGTTAAGCGCAGTGGTCTGCCAATCTTCGAGCCCTTGTGTCCAGCCACACCCTTCGACTTTTAGATGGTGGAACGATTTCTTAAATATATCCCACTCCAAGTTCAAATATGTTAAAGTTTGCTGCACGGGGGTTCAAACAGACCACACAGAAACGCCATCATATGCTCAGCCTTTACCCTTGTGGGTTTCCCTTTTTGGTCCAATTTTGGTAAAGGCCCCGATTTCCAGGTTTTTCAGCGGCAAGTGAGTATGGCTCGTATGGCTTTTTCGGCTACACCCTGTAGGGAAATGACCCAAGACAATCCCAAACATGTCAAAATAAAATCGGGAAATGTTTCAGGCGTACTCCCAGGGCGTAAATGGGAAACTCCTTTAGAGGAGCCCCATCTTGACCCCTGGCTAGTGGAGACAGACAGAGCACCATCTGGGCGAGCGGGGGCCGGGTTTTTTGAAAACCCGTTTCGATTCGATCTCTGAAATGACTCGATCCCCGTGTAAATGCCAAACGTTATGGTTTCGACTATGGTTTTCTTCTCGGCTTCTCAGTTTCAACCACTGTAGGAAACTCCCCCCCCACCTCCCCTCCCCCCTCCCCTCCCCCCCCAAGGTGTAATACTGTGGATGGACGAAGTCAATTTCGCACCAGCTGAAAAGCCCTGGCTTATGATTCGATTCCCCCGTAAATGCCATGGTTTTAACTCTCCCTGTCCCCCTCCCTGTCCCCCTCCCCCTCCCTCTTCCCCTCCCCCGCCTCCTCCCCCTTCCCCCCCCCACATAGGAAGCTCCTTGGATTCGGTTTGGGGCGGCGGCGGGCGTCGGCTCGGGAGGTTCCTGGCGGCGCTGGGGGTGCGCCATGCGCCGGAGGCCCAAGACCTTGCGGAGGTCACCGCTCGCGTGGCGCAGGCAGGTTCGGGGGGGGTGGTGGACGCTGGTTGGGTGGATTCTCTGGGTGACTCCAAGGCCATCCCCTCAGGTGTTGGTTGTTGTTGTTGTTTGCTTGAGGTTTTGAATTTGAGTTGGTTTACAGTTTGGGGGTTTTACATATGGAGAGTGTGGTGGGTATTAGTTGGGTGGCTCGGCTGGTTTTAGCAGTTGGACGCGCAAAAAGGGTGGCGTTTCTTTTTGGGTTCCTTTGCAAGCCACCGACAAATTGTTATGCTGGACACTTGGCTAGGACTTTTTGTAGGGAGCCAGTGATCCAAAAGCAATCCCCACCCAAATGAATGTCCACAGGGCCTTTGACGAGAAAAGCCAACTCCAAGGGTCTATTTTACAACCTCCTTATGGCCCATTTCTCTTGCCAACGGTCTTGGAGCCTGGAAGGACGTCGTCCAAGACGAACAGTCCGACAGTAGTCCATTTCGCGCCAGTTGGTAGGTGACTGTGGGGCTTCATCCTTCCCAACTGGTGCTGCATTTCGCGTACAGTCTGCATCTTTTGTCATTGCTAGATGTGTTCAATGGTCAGGTTCACTTGCATCGCTGCAAGCGTCTTGGTCTTCGCAACCTCTTTTTTCCTGCATTGAGTGTTTTTTTCGTGTGTGGGCCTCCAAAATTGTTGAGTGTCTATGGCATGGCCTCCAACCCCCCACCCCCCCCACAAATGGATTTGCTGGTGCTCAGTAGGGAATGAGGGAATGAACCCTTCAAAGGCGTTAAGGAAATCACAAGGGGTGGTTCATAGGGCTCATTCCCTCAGTCCCTGCTGAGCAAGTAGATTCTGGCCATGTTTGGCTTTCCATCCTTTGGTGTCCCCTTTTGTCAATCGCCTAACTTTTGGATGAAATGGGAGCACCCGATGTCCGCCTGGAGGAAAGTAGGACTCACTTGCGAAGCGAATCAACCTGACATGATCTTGTCTTTTCCGGTTTTGGCAACAGTTTGCAGCCATGGCCCCCAAAATTCGCCGTCCTTAGGGCAACTGAGAGGCAAGAGGAGGGATGTTCAACCCGCGTCAGGCAAGTAGATTGTAGCCTGAGATTTGGCTTTCTTCGGCCTCACTATGGCCTAGGGTTTGGCTTGGATCCTAAGCTCTTATACTCTATAAGACCATTTTAGTGGCAGACAAACAGTTTGCACCTTGGAACGTCCCGTGAGTTCGGAGCTTGGTCTTAGGTTTAGGGAAGACCAGAGGTTCGAGGGCGCACCAAAAGAGGTCATTGTGGAAGAGCATAGGTTACATGTGGACGTTCTTCAGGAAGTTTGCCCACCCGTCTGTCGTGGGCATTTGCATAGGTGTCCTTCTTAGGTTAGTTTGGTTAGAAATAGATGGGTTCCACTGGTTTAGATTGGTGTTATGCCCCATTCACCAGGGGTTACATATTTAATCCGCGCATTTGCGTCCCAAAGGTCCAATGTTCACAATAAAGTTGCTCATGGGACCCCCCAATCGAACCGGTTGATTTCTCCGGGAGTCATTTTGCGCTATTTTACACAAACCGGGCAGCCCAGATCAGGTTTTCCGCCCCCGGTGCGCGCGGTTGAGCGGTTTCGTGGCGAGGAGGTTGCGAGCCTAAACGACTGCGTGGTCCAGCACCAGGTCTGGGTGCTCCAGGTGTGTCTGAAGGGCGCCTGAAGCTATTGGCGCCATTTTCTGACTTAACCCACGCCCCAAAAAGCAGATCCAAAACACCAATAGGTTTTTGTTTTTTGCCACCTTTTGCGGAGAATGATGGACATGATGGACTCAGGTTTTTTTGGGCCACCTTTGGTGGAGAAATGATCGACCCCTTCGTAGTGAAGGATTCCGTTCTGAGGGGGTCGCCAATTTTCTCACTGTTCTCACTTGAGGAGCACAACCCATTACCCCCGCAAACAAGTAGCTCCAAAAGCACCATGTCGGTTTTTGTTGCAGCCTCCCTTGTCCAAGGTCGACGTTTGAGCCTTTGGTTACCCCTTCTTCTTTGCTGATTTTTAGTCAAGGCTCCAAAAGGTGATCACCTTTTACTTCCGAAAAGGTGACCACCTTTTACAATGGAATCTATGTTTTCCTGGATCTTAGTTGTGATTGTGTGAGCTGATCTGAGTTTTCTCGGGACGCCCCGAAGACCGTCCAGATATCAGCACACAAGTCAATATGAGGCCTTGCGGGTTGGAGGGGTGATGCGTAGGTTCCCTGATTTGTGTGACTGGGTGCCCGCCTCAAAAAGCGCAGCGAAAGCGGCGTGGTTCCAATCATTGCAATTGTCCAGATGGGCCACCGGTTGTTTTTGTTAGGGAAGTCTTGTCTTGCAACGAAGCAGGCAACTACTGGCTTTTTGGTTAGGGAAGTCTTGCAACGAAGCAAGCAAGCAAGCAAGCAACTACTACTGGCTTTGCTCTCCTGCTTTTGTTGTAAGTCTCTCAGTCTTCCCAGCCCAAAGCCTTGCTGTCTTCCCCGAATCAGCCCGAGCAGGCGTCCACGGGCCCCATCTTTTAACAAAGCTGAAAGACCCAGTGTTTTTCTTCTTTGTCCAAAGCGAACCCTTTTTCCTGTTGGTTTTGACTAGGTTCAGTTATCCAATGTGCGAAGGTACTGAGTCTTCAAAGGCTGGCAACGTATACCTTGGTTCCCCCCTTCACCCCTTTGGCAAAAGTGGATAGATATGGGTATGGGTCAAAATGAAATCAGGAATTGGACCGCAGGTTTTAGTCCTTGGTTCCATTTACCAGCGCAACCCATTTCGGGCTTAGCCTAATTTTGACCCACAGCCATATGGCAAAGTTTGTTTTGCTGCTTGCTTTCCGGTCCTTTGTGCAGCATGGTTGTCGAACACTTGAGTTTAGTTCCATTTGTTTTTTGTGATGCCAATGGGATCCACTTTAAAGTGATTCGGCAGTCATGGGCATCAAGCAGTGTATCACACAAGTTGTGATTTTCCACACCCATGTTGCCGAGTGAGTCCACCCACGGGAATTGGAGTAGTTTTCAACTAGCAAGCAGCGCACCTCCGCTAAGCCTCACTGGTAGCGCTATTGCCCCTTCCGCAAGGATGGTGAAGAGGGCGGGCAAGATGATGCTTGAGGCAATGCTTGAAAACATGGTCTGAACTCTCAGCGCAGAACATGCGCTGAGCACCCGTGAGTAAGGTGCGTACGAGCTGAGCCAGAAAAAAGCGGAGCAGCTCGCGAACTTTCATATGCTGGACAGCGAGGGCAAGGTGGCGCCAGTTTCGGAGCTCGACTCTTGGCGGCATTTCAGGCCTAAAACTGAGTCGCAAAAGAGCCAGGTTTCTTGGAGGGATCCTTTTTTCTAGAAAACCGCCAAACATTCTGAGAAATGGCTGGTTTTTGAAAAGAACGATGGCTGAAAAGAATGGGGAATCAACCCCTAGAAGTTTAGTAGTTGTTGGGTCGGTTCCTACCTTTTTGTTTAAAAAGAAGTTCCAGTAAACCCAAAAGTCTGTCAATGAGTTTCTATCACAGCTGGTTTGGGAGTCACTTCCACGGGCACCATAGTGTGGACCTAAGAAGCCTGGTGCAGGATTCTGCCCATTTATGTGTGGATGGGCGAAATCCACTTCGCACCACTTGGAACTGATGGGAAACCGTTGTTTGTTGGTATTTAGAGGGAGAATCATCCTTTGAGGGCTTGCTAGGTTGTGCAGGATTTCGTCCATCCACCATACTTTCAGATACCCCTGAATTGGGGGTTCGGATTTGTGGTTCGGGGGGGAGCTGGAGCCCTTGCTTCTTGTGAAGCCAGAGGGGTGAGGTTTCTCCTTCACTTCTAACTTCACCCAAAACGAGAATTGAGGGTGAGGTGGGACGGGGGGTGCCTTAAATATTACAAGTGAGCAAACCGCAAACCATGGGAATTTGCAGGGAATCCTCCGTTCCCTACTTGCAATTTTCCGTTGGCATCGACCGTACCTTGCTCTTGCTTGGTTCCGGGGCACCCTGGCAAGTAAAACTATTGAGGCCTTGCAAGGGTTGGATCTTTGCGCCCAAGCACTTTCCCTGTGTGGTTGCAGGGCCAAGAAGTATGGAAGGGTGCTTGTCTGCAAAACGCATGGAGCAAGTATGGAAGCATGAAGTGTGGAAGTACCAATCAAGTACAGTATGGAAGGTGTTGCCAGTTTGGGCGGGCGATTGAAAAGCTCTTAGAGGTCTTCCATTTGCTGAATTGAATATGGTTTATTTCTTCTGTTGGTTTTTGAAGGGAATCTATTGCCACTGGAAATAGATGTTTGTCCAGTGGGCTTAATTCTTAAGCAAATAGAAGAGATGGTGGTTGATCAAAGGGCCCTTTACATGGGATGACCATTTAGGACACCACAAAAAGATACGATTTTTGTGACATGGGACTACGCATGGTCAAAGCTGGGGGCCGAAGGGAATGTTGAACCCCAGATCATCTCTTTGGCGCTGGCTGGCTGGCTCCAAAGCCGGCATCCATGGAAGGGACCACCTATGAAGCAGGCGGTGGCCATTCCTAAAGCGCTGGGCGATTGCTAAACCCCAGAAGGTATGGTCTACCGGGAATTATTTCTGGGCTGTTCAAAGGCAATCCGCAAGATCCTTAACTTGGGTTACGCTGGGATTCGGTCCCTTTTCTAGTACCTTCCCTGCAAGGATTATGGATTAGGATTAGCAAACCAGGAATAGAAGTGGCAAGGAGCGCCCTGGTAGTTCCTTGGGTTTGAGATTTCATGAAAGGATGAAGAGCGTCCACTCCGTGAAGCTTGTATCGGGAGGTAAAGGGAACACCCTGGGAAGACCGCGAAGCTTCCCGGAGAGTCTGTCACTTAACTCTTTAAAGCTTGGATTCCTCATTTTTTGGGGCTCCCTTTTGCAGGGGCCTACCAACTCACCGGGGTTCGAGCTTATTGAGCCTTATTCGTAGGGGAAAATACTGTGGATGGACGAATGTCTGCAGCACCTAAGAAACCATGAGAAACCATTGTTTGTTGGCATTCACAGGGGCGATCATCATAAACCAGGGATTTTTGAGGTGTGCGAAATGGATTTCGCAACCATCCGCAGTACTGGGCTGCACGAAAACCAGCCCCTCCCGCCTGCCTAAGCCCGGGGTTTGCGCCGTACCCAAGGTGTGGCTGGACGTCGAGTCCTGGCGTGACCGGCTCAGCAGCGAGGAGCTCCGCTTCTGCGATGACGAGCCAGCAGGCCGTTCTTGGACTGGGGAACCAAGCTGCCCAGCGGGTTGCTTCATTTGTTCAACTTTGTTTAGGGAAGACTTTGAAGGGAAAAAAGGCTGCCCTTTTTTCCCATGGCCACTGGGCATCTGAGGGAATGGGAAAGATTTTCAATTTCCGGCAACTTTGTTTAGGGACCGGTTTCCCTTCAAAGTCAACCAGCGGAAAAAAAAAAGATGCCCTTTTTTCTTTTTTTTTTCCCATGGCCACTCCCACTGGGCATCTGAGGGAATGGGACAGATTTTCAGCTTCCGGCTTGGTTCTCTTCCGATTTTGGGGTCCGGTTCCTATTTTATTTTCACATCCATGTATCCTCATTTAGGTTTCTTGCGCTAAGCCACCCTTGGGGAGTCTGATTAGGTTGTATTTGATCTACCGGGCCAATCACTAAAATTCAGAAGCTGGACTTGATACTTTGTGGGAGGACCATTTCAGTGTCAAACAAACAGTTTGGCCTCCGGAAGTGAGGAAATGACGGGACCGTCATGATGCGTGGGATGGTTTCGCTCGCCACCTGGCGAGCTCGCTACAGCGTGACTAGTGCACGAAGCTAACCCGAGCCCAAAAGACAAAGCTTGATACCGTGTCAAGGCTGGATGGAATCCTTCAAGGGGGCTTTGACACCCACATTGTCGCGCTCCTTGGGCAATTTGTCACGGCAGCCTACTGCATCCGCAGAAGCAGTAGGCAAGCAGCACATGGGCCAGAGCTGATACGCCAGACTTCATAGGCATCGTTGGCCCCGTTGCTCGTCAGCCAAATGGGCGTGGTTGTTTCCGAGCGTTCCGTTTTCGGGGTTGTTTTAAAGTGACACCCGTTGTATGAGAGTCATGAGAGTTGTCTGTAAGCCCCTGATGTGGCCACAATATCCGCTCAACATCAGGCCTTTGCAGCAAGCAACTTTGTATGAGGGGTTGTGTCTGTGGGTAGCGTTTGGGCCAGTGCTCCCCCTTTGAAAAGTAAGATTTGCAGGCCATATTCTCGAGTTCCTGTCGCAGTTGGCTGGTCTGACCCGCGTCTCCGATCTCGCGACTTGCTTCAGGTGTCTTGAGAGCTCCTCTTGGGGCTGCCCAAAAATTCGACAGGGTTTGGCCACGCACACCACAATTTACTGGTTGTTTTGGGCGGCGAGGCGGATACCCTGTGAGCTACTGTTAGACAAATTCCTGCACCAGCTGATAGGTGGTTTATCCTATTCAAAAGGTTTCATCCATCTGGTGCAGGAATTTGTCCACAGGCCTAGAACCTCGAAGGATCATTGGGTTCCATTGCGCGGACTTTGCCCACTGGAACACATTGCCCACGTGTCATGTGTTGGCCCTTGAGGCATTCCGAATTCACTTCGACTTTTGGGGAGGTATGCCAGCGGTTTGTCAACGGGATTTCCCTTGCGTGAATGCCGACATGACGTGAATTGTTTCCATGTTTGGTCGATTTTCAGTCAAGGCTCCAAACGATTGAACTTGTATTTCATGCGGGTTAGAAAGGCAGCTGGACTATCCAAGAACCCCTGGGTCATACAACGAACCCTCAACCTCAAGGCTAGAAAGCTGGGAAGTGGTTTTCCTTCAGGTTGCCCCCAGCTCCAATTCAGGGAGAGCAGATGCACAGTCCCCTTGGAAAGCCAAGGGCATGCCAAGGGCGCAAAACCAAAGTGAGCGAATGGAGGCATATTGCTTCACCCAACTAAACCTAGACCATCTACTCAGTTGCCCAAAGCGAATTGGCCTTTCGACCTGTGGGCTTTCCTGTTTTGGACAGACAGCTCACACAAGGACGGAACCCAAACGACACCCATTGGAAACTTCTGGCGCGCCCCCCTTCTCACTTGTCTAAGGCTGACTTGAAACATTTTTTTGGCTTCCTCTTGTTGGTCGACTTTTAGTCACGGCTCCAGGCATCCGAGCTGGATCGACCTCAAATATGGAGTCCGTATGGCGCCGTCCAGCTTAAGGGACCCGAACGTCAATGTGCCCAGCTGCCGGGTGGGATTCCCGAATCCTCACTTTCACTGTTTGGCTTTGGTTGCGAGTCTAGGTCCCCCAGTAGTGCCCTTTTCCACCTCTTTTTTGGGTTGGGAGCGTTCCCCTACTAAAATAGACTACAGACAAAGGGCACCCTGATTCTAACCTCTCTACTGGAGGACCTAGCTACACACTTTGAGAGCAGCGCTGGATCTGAGGTCAAGGAGATGACCAACGCTGAGCGACAACCAGTGCGGAAGGACAGCGTGCAGGACTGCCCAAACTGCAGCCAGGAGAGCCCCCAGTAGTCTGCAGGTCTGGTTTGCTGTTGTTCCGGGCCCGTTCCGGTTTTGGGGGGGTGTTGTACATTTGGTTTGTTTGTGCTTACATCTTTGCTTGTTCGTCTGAACTGCCCTGGGTGTTTGATTTATCAGACCATATTTCTTCACTGCTGTTGGTGGCCATTGTTCTTGTTTGTTTGTTCTGTTCAGGCTTATTGCGGGGTGCCACAAAACGCGATTCCCTTTTGCGCTTGCCTCAGATGTTGGGCGGATCTGACAAAGCCAAACCAGCCTTTGAAATCGCCGACCCATATTTTTTGGGTAGGGGGAAGAATCGACCCCGGACCCCGGATGAACCAACCTAGTGGATTGTTAGGTTCCCCCGAAAGCTGGCTCCCTGACTTCACGGACTTTAGCAACTTTTTGGTGGGTTTGGGCCAGTTAAGGTCTTAGACAAGCAGACAGACTTTGACATGGACCAAGAGGGAGTGCGCCCCACGCCATACCAACCAACGTTATGGTTTCAACCATTGTTTCATTTCGGTGTTGTGTTTTATGGGTTTCGCGAAACCATCCACAGTATTTTTGAGACTCCACGGGCAAGTTGTTTGGTATACTCCCAACTTCCGTGGGCTGAAGCTGTTCGTGGTGGATCATGGGATCCCGGCCTCAACGAGGCCTCGGGGGTACAACCCCTTGGGTTCTATGGGAGGGCTTGACGGGATGGGAAGGGGGGGTTTACCATCTAGGCAGCGAGAACCTAGAGGCTCCCAACTCAAAACTGCTGGGGGGTGTTCATGGCAGAACGCACAATGCCCTTGAAGAATCTTGATCCCACATATGGCCTACTGGTACGAACCCTTTGAGGCTCATTGAAAAGGGGTCCAACAAATGGTTCATTCGCGTCAACACGCAATGTTACTACCCTGTCCGTTTTAGCTTGGTCCAGTTCCCAACCATTTTTTGGCAGGTTGACAGGATTCGATGGTCCCCGATCAGCTTTGGGGGTAATATGGCCGGATGTTAATATTTATGCCCCTGGGGTGCACCCTGCAGTTTACGTCGCCATGGCTGACTTGTTAGAAACCAAACAGGACATGGGCTTACATAGGAGTCAATACAATCAACCTTTCGGAAGCACTTGATTATCCTTAAGGAGCCTGCCAGCGGGACAAGTCTCTCGGTTTCTCTGCAACCTGCAACGTACTGTCCTTTTGCGTGGCTTTGATGCTCAAATGGTAAGGGACAGACATGACACGGGCCGCGTTTGGACCTGGAGGGGGGTTCTAGTTGTTCGGCTGTAACAACGATGTTTGGTTGCTTTGCGACTCGCACGCGTGGCGTCAATTGGCTTCTAATCCATGCTTTCAACTCGATTCAAATGTGCAAAACACGTTGGTTTGTACTCTATGTTAAGCATCCGTTTGGTTGTGGACTGCTTGTCTCTTTATCATGACGCTCCGCAAGCAAGCCACAAGAGACCGCATCGCATAGCACGTGGAGGTGAGCCCGAGGCACCCCACGTGGCCACACGACTCCCATGTGAAAAGAACTAGGTCCCCCAGTGCCCTTCTCTCCCCTTTTTTGGTTGGGAGGCTTCCCCTACTACAATAGACTACAGAACAAGTTGGTACCCTGATTCTAGCCTCTCTACTGGAGGACCTAGAATTAAGGTCTTGGCGCAGCATTGGGTAACAATCATGGGCCCTCTAATTGTGGACTTCCCATCTATTTCCTGGTGGAAATCTCAACATGTCCGGGCCACTGTGGATGGAGAAAGTCCTGCACGACCTGGGAACCCTGGAATGTTATGATTCCCCTGCAATTGCCAACAAACGGTATGGTTTAACCCATGGTTTCATTTCGGTGCGTTTTGTGGATGTCGGGAAACCATCCGAGACACACAAATTTTGCTGGGTCTTAGCAGGGAATGGGTTGGAATGACCCCTATAAACGCACCAACCCAGCTTCTTTTTAAGTGCCCTCGGTTCATTTTTTGGTGCTATGATCCAAAATAAGGGCACTTAGTCCCAAATCAAAGAGGTCACTTGAAGGCATTGGACGGTTCGCAGGACTCCATACGAAAGATGATGTTGCACCCTGCCTTCGCAGAGGCCGCGGAGGCGGGCCTGGTGGGCCTGGCGGGCCTCGGAGTTCGACTTAGCTCACCGATTCGATTCGATGCCGAGCTCACCATGAGAAAGGTTCGGGGTATTTGGGCGTCCCTTAATTCTGCTTCTGGAACTCTTTCCGAAAGAAGAAAAAAACAGATCGCATGTTTGCGGGGGTGGCACGGCCTAGTGGAGTGGTAGTTTCACATACCTGGGTCATGGAGCTTGTTTTTCCGTGAAGGCTTTAGCGACTTAGCTTAAAAAGTCCTGAGGCTGCAAAGGGGTTCAGATGCGACCCTTCCCGTTGGCTGTGTGGCAGCTGTGACATCAAGGATGGCGACTTGCGATTTGGTCAGACAGCACAGCTGTCTCATGTCTCTTGAAGCGTCTGGGGGGGTGGCTATCATATCTGGGTAAATTATAACGACCTCACACGACCTCACCCCAATGGTGGTTTATGTGGGGAACAGCCCCCCAACCACCTTATTTCAGGCTGGTGAAATATTATGATTCACCCAGATCATATTCTTAGACATGTGAGTTGTGTAGGGGCCCTTTCATTTGTGGTTTGGAGTCTGGTGGTTTGGAGATGTTGCGGGGTGGCTTCCCATTTATCCAGAAGAACCAGGGGGTTCCAACAAAAATCCAAACGACCATTTGGGGGTAAGCGAAGTTAGGATTGGCCCTCCATGTTGAACAGGAGAATGACTGCTTTCGCCTACATACAATCGTGATGCTGTAGTCTCCCGCCAACCCTTCAGAAATGCCATCAGATGCCTTTTTTCAGACTTCATTTTAAGAATGTTCCTTCCGAACTTTCCCTACTGGATGCCTTGGTTCGAGGGCCGGCTGCTTGAACATTCGCCGGGCAGGGTTTGCGGTCTCAAGCGCAGGTGAGCCACAATCGAAACCCGGGTAGATGAAGGTTAGGAAGGGACAATCCCAACCGCCTTCTTAATTCTGGAAGCATGGTTCTGGGTAGACCATACCGGGTGTTGACCAGCTCCCCCAGCAGTGCTCCTTTACCCTTTTTTGTGGGGGAGGGTTCCCCGACTAAAATATACAAAACCGGAAGAAAAGAAAGAGAGAGCCTGTCTACTGGAGGGCCAGCTAGGGTTTCATTCCCAGAACCCCCGAAATTCATGCCCTAAGGACCCCGGGGGCAAGAGAGGACCTCGTTGATTCTGACTCAGGTCCTCCTCCGCGAGAAGTGGCCGGTGAGCTGCCTGGAGCCCCAGCTGGCCGCGCAGAGCTTCGTCGCCGCGCCGGAGCTCGAGACGACGCTCTGGCGAGGAGACCGCCAGGTGGAAGGCGGAGAGCGGGAGATGGAGATCCGACCACACCCCAAGACATCAAAAGGCCTAGAAAACGGGGTGGAAACGGTTTTTTGGTTGTGGATTTTCACCTGTGTTTGGCAAAAGGCTAGAACTCGGAATGGTGGGTTAAAGGAAAGCAACCACATTTTCTGACTTTGATGACTTGCAGAAACAGGCAAAATAACGGCCCCAGTGGAAAACGGGTTGGAAACGGGTTGTTTGTTGTGGATTTCACTTGTTCTTCCCCCTGCTCCTTTTTTAGGCATCTTTTGGTAATCTTGTAATACGTAGTCTACAGTGGATCCGCAGGCCCTCCTGATTAAGGGGAACTCAGAAGTAACATCCACCCATTTTGGGGGGTTCCAAACTTGAAACAAGACACACCCCCATGCGCTTTGTTTGGTTCTTTGATTGGAGACTTAATCTAAGGGTTTTTGTATTACGCCCTGGGATTAGGCCCCAAGGGAAATGACCCCATCTCGGCGTATTTCAGGGATAAACTCATGTTACTTTGGGCCATGTTGGGCCATTTCTCAAGGGTGTAATCCCAGGTGTAATGCAACAACCCTTGGGGTCTAGCTTCTAAGGTGCACGAGGCCTTCCATGGGGGGTATCACTTTGAAACCAATACTTTTACCTGACCGACGTCAGGTCCTGTGTGGGTCAAACTGGGGTGCCCTGGTAAAACCTGCGGTCCATATCCTGGTTTAATTTTGAGCCACCCCCTACGCAAGTGAAGTATCCCCAGATAGAAAGCTCCACAAAAACTGGGGTGGTGTTTTACTCTGCATGTTGACCACGTAGATGACTTGTTGACGGGGAGCGCAACCACATACCTGAGGCTGACGTGGCCTGGTCATCGAACGGTTTTTAGGAGCACCCGATTCCAGCACCGCCGCCCCAAACCAAGGATTGGCCGTTGTGAAAGCTTCTAAGGTGCATAGATTCTAGGCCTCAAGAGTATCAAACCACTTCTGCAAGGGACCTGCAACCCTTCCATTTGCTGAAGCATATGTTTTATGTCCCCTTGGTTTTAAAGGAAACCTAAGAGCTTCACGTATTTTCCAGGGGACGAACAACGCAAACGGAGGCAACCAATCCCAAAGAAGTCCCAGGGTCTTTCTGGAAGGCTCTCAGAAGAAGAAGTGCGTCTTCTTTGGGGCGGGGGTCTGGATGATCAGCGATGCCGCCTTCAACAACCAGGAGCCGGGGTTTGAGTGACCCGCCAAGGGGAATCCAAGGCGCTCTGCAAAACTCACTCCCTGAGTTCATGTTTAGTCAACCTTTTGGGGCTTGGACCATGTTCTCAGTCTCTGAATTCCTGGACTCTAGTCACTTTTTAGGAAGATTATGTTGGTGGCTTGCAGAAAAGGTTTCGCCAATCCACTCAGAAGTGATTTTAGTGGCAGTCACTTTTTGGGTTTGGTTAGTGGCAAACCCGCAGCGGAAGTGAGTGGCCGGACCTCAGCCGGTGGCTTGGGATTTCACGAGGGTCGTTGCCCAGCGTTACAAATTTGTGGGGGGTCCATTTGTTTAAGAGTAATTATGTTTTTGTTTTTCCCCCGATTTTCTTCTGGTTTCGAAAGGAATCGATCACTACTGGAAATATTATATTTTTTCCAGGGGGCTTGAGCAAATGGAAAGTTGGGGAGGTCTTGTAGGGCCTAGGTGGTCCGTGGTGCCAAGTGCCCTCAAAGACCAGGCTCCTGCTTTGGCATCCCAGGGAAAGTTCGAGCCGGAGGGCGTTCATTTGTTCCCTTGACAAAGCCGTAGTAGCGAACCATGGGCTGTTCCAAGCATAGCTTTCGGCTGACTTCCCTCGCATTTGGGGAATGGCCTTCCCCCACAAGAGGGCCTCATGACATGGACACGCGGCAGACCACAGGACACATTATGTGAGATGTTGGCGTTCGGATATGCGCGGTTTGTACATCCGTTTTACCCTGTGGCCATATGGGGGAACCTTGGTTGGTTTGGCAAAGGGCTCGGGCAATATCAAATCGGGCCATGTGTGTCTGTGTAAAGGATAGGATGGTTAAGCGAATCAAGGGATCAAGAGAAACAATTCATACCCAACACAACACGATCCATAGGTTCTTTGCTTGTAAGTCAGGCATGTCAATACTGTTGGACGAAATCCATTTCGCACCACCGAAGAAACCCAAAGGAATGATGATTACCCTCATACCAACGAACGTTATGGTTCCCACGGGTTCTTTTGTTGGTGCGAAATGGATCCTTTCCAAAAGCTGAATCGGATCTCCAGGGCGTTCAGTTGATTTTCTTAAGAAATATGTTTATTTGTCCCTCTTGGTTTTTCAAGGAATCGATTTCACCACTGGACATATTTGTTTAATTGTTTAAGAAAAATCAGAGGCTTAAGCAAATGGAAGGTTCAGTTGATTTGCTGGTGCTTTTGCTGCATCTCACTGCACAACGAGCCGTTCGAAACAAGCCAAACACACATGTTTGTTGCTGTAGCAATTCCGGTTCAGACAGTCAGGAATATTTAATTTTTACCGGAGGGCAAGCCACAGAAGAGTCGACATGTGTTTTTCTACGGTTTGACAGCTAATCCAACACCTAAAGGGGGTTGTCCTCACTTTTTGGTTCGTTGTTCTTTTGGTTCCGTTCATGTTCAGCAAGGGGCCGCAAAAAAGGTCAGTTTTTGGCTACCATTCCAAGGGTTGGAAAGTTGTGCAAACAATTCGGTGGTTCCAGCCATGGTTCGGGATAGCATCACCCTGTTCAGGAGCAGGCCGTCGAGGAGTTGCTGGAGGCTAGGGCAGCCCTGAGTTCATGGACTTTAGCGTTTTTGGGTTTGGACCACTTCAGTGGCAACCAAGAAGTTTGGTTACTGTTGCTGGCCCATGCACTCGATCGGAAGACAGTGTTTGACCAGCTATTGTCTCCAGCTCCCCTCAATTACCCTTGTCTGCATCTCCAAAAGTGGCAGGTCTGCATCTTTAAAAGGGCAGTTTGGAACCCACCAGTAAAATGAACCAAGAAATCCAACCCCTGTGTTTCCACTTCTTTTCATTCCCCTTCTTATTTGGGGCCGAGCTGTTTGTGAGCGCAGAGGCCTTCTGGCGGCTTCTCTTCCCCGCATCACCCAGAGAGATGAAGAAGCTGGAGCTGGACGCTCGCCTACGCGAGCTTTTCAAGCTGGCTTTCACCCAGGCCGGGCAGAGGTGGCTGGTGTGGCAGTAATATAATATGCCACTTGCTGAAATGACTAGGTCCCCCAGTAGTGCCCTTTTATGGTTCTTTTTTGGTTGGGAGGGTTCCCCTTCTAAAACAAACTACACAAAAAAAGGGAACCTTATTCTAACCTCTCTACTGGAGGAGCTGAGTATGTATAATTTCACTTGCTGAAATGAATACTTTGGATGGACGAAATCCATCCAACGCACCGCCTAAGAAACCCTGGCATGATAAGTACTAAATAAAATGGTTGTCTATGGTTTCAAATTGTTGCATATTCGAGGGGTAGCTTCCAGTTCCATTCTTTCCAGGGATCCTTCTTTCAGATGCCACCCAAAACCCTGGAAAACAGCTGGTTTTTGAAAAGAACGATGGCTGAAAAGAATGGGGAATCAACCCCTAGAAATATTCCACTTGCTGAAATGGCCGTGGGTTGAAACCGTGTTGGTCCCATTTCGGGGTAGGTGCACCACCCATTTGAGTCTACTTTAGTGGGGATTGAATCGGATGTTCACTGGGGGTACGATTTGGCTTTTGATCCATGGCCATAGAAGTGGTTATAACCTCCATACCTTCAGCACCCTAGGGCTTGGCGACCAAAGCCTGAGGGCCCCGCCGGCATTCCCGAGCTCTTGCGGCTGAAGAATGTCGACAGCTCATTGGTGCGGAGCAAGTTCTTCATGGTCGCTTTGGCCTTTTCAGCTTGGCTGCTATTGGGCAACGGATCTTTAGACCTTAACTTGTTGGTTGAAATAAAGGTGTTCTCCACTAAACCCCCAAACAGTTTTCAACCTTTTGCAGGGGGTCGTTGCAGCAACCAAGCCAGTACTTGGGTGTTTTTCTCGTCAGATTGGGTCCCTTAAAGTGGACATTACTCATTCAGCTCGGGTCATGTTGAGGATGTCTTGCAGGTTCTCGGCAAAACCATTGGTTTGAAACTTCAGGGTTTCAAGAACTATTGTTTGTCCAAGCCGTTGCCACAGGGCTAATCCCAAGGAAATGCTAGGATGGGCTTCCTGGTATCACGGAAGCGCCCTCATTTCAAGGTTTTGACCCTTTGGTGTCCCTTTGCTTGTCTATTTTCAGTCAAGGCTCCAGAAGGGTATCAGTTTATTTCTGGGTCGTTCTTTGGGCAACTGAGAACCAGCTAGCGGGAGAGTTGCGTTTCTTCATTTGAGATGAGCAATCAAGGTCGGGGATGATGTTCCTCAATCCCTCTTCGACCAATTGGTCTACAACATGCGGGTCATCTTCGAGGCACTTGGGAACCGTCCAATTGCCAAAGATGTTTTCTGACATGGTCAGGGTAGGTCAGGATGTGAACAAACGTCAGCCCAACGGCCAGCAATTTGCCCGTGGTTTCCAGCATCTTCTGCAACCCAGTGGTCTAAACCCAACTCCGGGCACTGCTGGCCAGGCAAAACTTAGAGCGGGATGATCTGCCTGAGTTTCCCTGAAAGAAAAGGTGAGTCCCAAACCGGGGAACTAACCCCCAAAGATACCCACTGTGGTAGCAGCCTAAATGGCCCTGGATCTGCTTCAAGATACAGGACTCGGACTCGAAGTCCCTGAGAGGTATATTGCACACTGTGCGAGAGCAAGGCAGCAAGGCGTTTCTATCTATGGTCCAGTCTGAGTCGAAGAAGGGCCTTGACTTACAATGTAAAGGTGAGAATGTATGGTTGCGTGAAGGTTAATCGGTCAAACCAGACCTCAAAACACACAGCTTTCGTTTGACCTCCGCATCGAATTACTGTCTCATGACTATTCGGAAAAGCAGTTAGATCAATTCCGAGCATGATCAAAAGGTCTCTCTCTTTTGTGACTCGGACATGTTGGCTTTTGCCTTTGTAGCTTGCACGCATGCGCAAGCTGATTGCAGCTGTGTAGTTGGCATCCTGGCTTGCCCTGAACAGCCGCAACGGTGAAATCCACGGGCAATTGCTGGCCGTAAAGCAAACATGTTGTCATGAGTGTTACTAAGATTTGCGTAGGTTTGCGGTGCGGCGGTGCTTAACGCAGGTTGGTAAGACTGGTGCGCGTTGTAACGCGCAGTGATGGTTTGGCCGGTCATGCGCTCGGGGTCTTCGCCTATCTCATTGCGAGCTCACCGGTTTGGGGGTATGTGAAAATAGTAGTGTCCAAATAGGATTAGTAAAGGGGGGACCCCCCCCCTCAACGATGGGGGTATCTGGAATAGCATCTTGAAATCCAGGTGAAGTGAGTTTCCATTTGCTTTAGTATTGGTAGACTTGAGTTTCCATTTGATTTAGTATTGCTGGAGCTTCCTTTTGAGATTTGGAACTGGGTTTCCTGATTTAGTATTGCTGGAGCTTCCTTTTGAGATTTGGAACTGAGTTTCCATTTGATTTAGTATTAGTAGACTTGAGTTTGCAGTTGATTTAGTATTGCTGGAGCTTCCTTTTTGAGATTTGGAACTGAGTTTCCATTTGATTTAGTATCGGTAGACTTGAGTTTCGATTTGATTTAGTATTGCTGGAGCTTCCTTTTGCTTTTCTTGGGGGGGCCAGGCAACAAGACTTTATTTCGGGGGCCCCTGAAATAATGCCAAGTTGGGGGCTGAAGTACTACCCCCTTTGTGGGTTTGATTGTTTGCAGGTTTTAAACAAGAGACATGTAAGAAAACATGGGCATGGTGAAGCTGACATTTTTGGATTTGAGGAGCAGGCCCAAATCTAACAACACAGCATGAAGCACTGCCAGCCTCACCTAGGCTGTCTAACTACTTGACTAGCTAAGAGGCAATTGCACTGGGCAGGTTGTCTTTTTCAGGGGGCCAGGCAACAAGAGTTTATTTCGGGGGCCCCTGAAATACTGTCAAGTTGGGGGCTGAAGTACTCCCCCCTTTGTGGGTTTGATTGTGGGCAGGTTTTAAAGCAAGAGACATGTAAGAAAACATGGGTTTGGTAAAGCTGACAGTTTTGGATTTAAGGAACAAGGTACCAAAGATCCAAGGACCTGGTGTTGGCTTGGCTATCTCTCCTCTCCTTTCTCTCTTCCTTTTTTTTGGGGGGGGACTTTTTTTTGCGCGGGTGGCGGGTGCTTGTTTTTCATCCAGGTGCATTTTTTTTGGGGGGCCCCCGAGTTGTCTTTATTACGCGTGCAATGTTTAATCCCATTTGGACATTATTCGTGAGGAAGTTTCGCTATCAACATGTTGCCTTGTCCTAGGCCACGAAAGGGTTCGCGAAAGAAGCCTGACATTTTCGCGCAAAAGGGTCGCTGCAGGGTGTGTTTCCCACAAAATTGTATTTGGCCAGGATCGTCGGCCCATTTCTCAATCCACAAACGCGACGCAAAAGCGATTTGACGCATTATGCGTGGACAACTCCGCGATAGCTTTCGCAAGAGGGATGTGGTACTTCTCTTCGGCCGCAACTGGGTTTAGAACAACGCTCGGTTGGTGAGTTGGTGAGTTGCCCCCTCCCCCAGTGCCTTTTGAACGTCGCAAGGGCTCAGAGGTCTTCAGGCCTACGAGTTCGGCCAAAAATCTGATTGCGTCCACGGCCCAAGGAACTTTGCCCGGAGACTTTCCTTTGCTTCCGCCTTGTTCAGCGTTTTTTGTTTTTCTGGAAAACGATTTGGATGCGACTTTGTGGACTTGCGACTCTTTCAGTCCTCTCTAGTGTCCTACAGAAGTGGGTCCACAAAGACCGCATCCAAACTGTTGCCTAGAGTTTTTAAAAGGGAAACCAACAGGAAAAACCGTTGCACAATTTTGGGGGCCCATTGAATTAAGACACACCAGTTTTTGCTATTTTCTCCTGTCGGTTGAAATGGAATCTATCACTGAAAAAGGGAGAGAATTCAGCAAATGGAGCGTAACTCAATTTCCTGCGCCTTTCATGGCCGGCCTTTGGGTAAAGGCCATTCAAACACGCACAGCTTTGCCACTACAAAAGGTCTAAGGGCCTTTTGCTCGTTCCGGGGGGCTTGCAGCAACCCAATGGTCGCATCCACAACTGTCTCGCCCAGCTGGGTTTCGGCAGGTTGGTGAGTACATTGTGGCAGAGGTGGAGGATAGGAAGGTGGTCGGGGTGGTGCAGGCTTGGGATCTCAGTGGCTTGGAAAATGGATTCGCACATCACTCTGCAGTCAAGTCAATACCCCTGTTTAGAGGAATCTCCTGTGGGAAATGGACCCCGTTTTTGGAGTCCTTGTTGACTTCCGGGGAGTCAAGCCCCAGGCCCCGACAAGCCGAATGAAATCAAGCCCTCGGAACTGGGGTCAGCCAATCTTTTGATCACACCATAGTCGAAAGTAGATGTCACAAATCCTATTTATCAGGGTAAGGAAAGGCATGACTAAACGGTTTCCACTCCATGGTTGAACAACATTTGGTCTTGAGGTTTTGCTTTTCCCCTCTTGGTTTTAAAGGAAAGCTATCACTACTAGACATGTTTTTCCGAGGCAATTGGTCACTAGCTGCAATGGCTCCCTTGCTATGGCTCGGAATCAGTATTGAAACGGGCACGCGGCAAGGACATATTGTTCACCTCGGATTAGCAAATCGGTTGCGCTAACTGGGGGTTGCGGCCTTTCCAAAAGTGGTCCGAACCCCAAGCAAAAGGAATTGGACACCCCCCAATTCAACACTGAAAGGTTTTCGGAACCCCTCTTCCAAGAAGGTTCGGAGGGACTCGGGACCACTGGACCATCTTGGAGCCCAGGTGACGCCAGGGCCGGCCTGGCGCGGCAGTACAAGGTGCAGGTTTCTGCGGATGGCCCGTGTCACATCCTTTGCCACACGCAGCTCTACAAAATTGCAGGCCGGATTGGATCGCCGGATTGGATCGCTCGATTGGCCGTAGATCCTGCACGGGTTATTGATGGGATTGGTTCTCAAAGTGAGCGGGCCTCCTTAGAATGGCGGGTTCCCGTTCGACGGCTTCCAGTCAAACTAAAGAGGCCTCGCAACAAAAGGAAGTTTTACGGGGGCGGAGAACTGGGAAGGGTCTTTCATGATGAATGGCTAGGAGCGGATCCCATTGCCTGGTTCTTCTTGCTGGAAAGCCACCCCCAACCTTTAAACCACCAATCACCACTTGGATAGAAGCTGAGATGGAGTTTGTTCAAGCCCTCCCTGCAAGGATCCAACATTGCGCCGGCCTTGCCCTTGCCAGCGTATCAGCTGGTGGCGTTCACAAACCCATCGGAGGCGCAAGAGACGCTGGGAGCAGTCGAGCCGAATCAGCGGGAGCAGCTGGAGGAGGTGAAGGGGCTCCTCAGGGAGATGGCCGAACTGCAGGAGGCAACAATTTTCTTGACTGCTATTGGGTTGGATCATCAAGGGGTTTTCCACTAAGCCCCCAAAAAGTTAAACTGTTTGCAGGCGGGTCAACAGCAACCCAGTTTTTTGCCGGAATTCACGTGCAACCAAAGAATATTGACTGGAGCAATGACCCTTTAATTTTCCCTTTTTCGCCATGTTTAGTCATAGCCCCAAGAGGCGACTGTCGTTATTTTTTTCTCTGGGTCCCGCCAGGGCAGAGGAAAGGTTTCTTAGGTTGAAGGTCTTGGCATGCGAAAGGTCCTAATAACTTACAAGGCGTACTCAGCATGTCCCTTTGATTGGCACGGAGATTGGGGCTTATCTGATGTCCTGCGCGGGCTTATTCTGAGGCAGGGAGGCTGGATTGGAAGGTTATGAGTAATTAACACACCCCTGGCAGTTGTAGTTTGATTGTGTGCCAGCCGGTTTTCATCACGCTGATATGCTCTCCCACCAACTATCCCTAAAAACCGGGAGTATGTCAATGTGCCTCTGGCGCCCACGCAGGCAGACTACAAAAGGGCGCTGAAAAGGCTCTACCTGCAACTCAGCCTAGCCGTACCTTCCATTTCCATTCCCTTCACAAACCCTTCTCTTCAAATTGGCCAATGTGTGGTTTCTAAAGAGAACGAGTGAAGAGAATGGGGAAGCAACTTTTAGAGTTGTTCAAAGCGGATCAACCTTTTCACCTTTTCTTTTTCCCTTTTTGGTCTACTTTTAGCCTTTTGGTTCCAAAACGGGTCAAAGGGCAACTAAGGCAATGGCACCCGGACAAATCAGGCAACACACCCTTCAACAACATGATTTTTCGGATGATCCGTCGGCACTGCGACTGGTATCTCGCTGGAAAGCGTGGCAGCGATGGCTGGCTCGACGAGTACACGATGAGTGACTCTGGTTGCTTGGCCAGTTTAGTGTGTCTTTTGTTGAGAGAGCCCTTTGGGGCAAAAGGAAAACCCGCAAATTTTGGGGGTCCCCCATTTTGGTTGCTTGGCAAAGTTGACCACATGCGCCGACCTCATTGCTTGGGCTGCGTTGGGAAGTGCTTTTGCGCTGTGAATCAGTCGTCCGATTCGGTTCATCCAGCTTCGATTCGGTTGTACAAGTTGTTTGCTCTTCTGCGTGTCCATGATTGCAGTGCAGATGATCCCCACCCCCTTCAAAATAGAATTGGGGAGGGGGGTGACCCTGGAATTCCATTTATGGTGCCATTTTCCCTTTTGTGGGGAAGAGTGACCAAGTGGAATTGGAGGACCCCCCCACCCCCCTCCCCCTTAAGGTAGGGGGGATTTCAGATGGGTTGCCATACCTGGTTCTCAGCAAGGAATGAGGGAATGAGATGACCCCAAGAAACCGCCCGCTATGGAATCTCTTTTTGGAACTCGGTTCATTCCCAAAGCCCTGAGCACCAGCAAGAAGTTGGCCAGTAGGTTGTGGGTATGAATCCGCAGGGCTCCTTAAAAGATACATTTTGCCCATTTGAAACATGGCTTTTTCCACCAAAATAAAAGGACACCACCATTTACAAGGCAATGTTCAGGGTGTATAATGTAAGGATCCCTGATCCGGACCTCAGCTTAAGGCCACTTGAAAAAGAACCGCCGGCATGAAGCCGTTCTTTCCCTACAAGGAGCGTTCGCTTCCTTGTGCCCAACATGATTGCATGGTTGCGGTTTCATTGCACCACCCCAAGGATACCGGATACATAACAAAGGAAGAATGAAGCTAATGGGCGGTTGTCGATTTGTTCCATTTGTATTCTGCAATTAGTTCCTCCATTCCTGGTTTTAAACGGGAATCAACTTACTACCGGACATACTGTGGCCGAATCCAACCATGGTTGAACCGAACCATTGTTTGTTGGTTTCTACAGCGGAATCATCAGAAACCAGGGTTTTCTGAACGACGCGAAATTGCATGTCGCGTCCACGCACAGCATATTCTTCATTGTTTCATCCACATATGAGTCACAATCCAAACCCGGGTAGTTGGAGGGTAGTTAGGGACAATCCCAGCCATAAATGGCTGCGGCCGCCTTCTTTCTTCTTTACATGGCTTTGGGACTTTGGGTAGGCGATTTTTCTGCCGGGCTTTGATGGTGACTAGCGGCTTTTCCCGCGGGTCGGACAGCGCACATCGAGCCGGTCAGGCAGCCGTGAACCCGAACGCGCGCAAAGGGAGCCGCAAGAGCCACAGGAGCCACAGGCCGGAGTTGTTTCACGGGCCGTGTGTAGATATTATATATATTTATATATATATATATATATATTTTACTAGGTCCCCCAGTAGTGCCCTCTTGAACCCTTTTTTGGGGGAGGTCCTCCTATTAAAATCGACTACAGAAAAAGAGTTGGTACCCTTATTCTAACCTGTCTACTGAAAGGCCTAGTATAGCACCGGTCTGAAAAAGCGGCTAAAAAGGGGGGCATTTCCAAGGGCAGTTGCTCTGCATTGGGTCAGGTTTGCTTGTTGTTTTGGCGTGCAAACATGATTTTTTACAGTCGCAACAACATTTGTTAGTATACCCCAAGGCAAACCCTACCATGTTGTAAAACCCCACCATTCTAGGAGTACCTTCCCCATTCTTTCCAGGCATCCTTCTTTCTAAGAAACCACCCAAGTCCCTGGGAAAACAGATCCGGTTTTTGAAAAGAAGGATGCTCGAAACGAATGGAAAAGGAATCAACCCCTAGAACCATTGGGTGTTAACAACTAGGAGCCTCAGCTTGCCTGGTTGCAACTCTGAGCCCAGCTTGCTTGGTTGCTATTAAATTCTTACATCTCAGGGCTTGATTCTTGGGTTGTGTCAAAGAAGCCCCGCGGTTCTTCGGCACCGGTGGTCCCTTTTGGTTTGGTGGGAAACCCCAGAAGTCGTCAACCCCAACAAGGGATCCCATGTTCCACCGGGGCCGCTGGGCAACTGGGAATCCGAGCTTGACATTGCCACCCCCTCCGCATATCGGTTGACGGGTCCTTTGCGCACATGAGGGTCCTTTCTGGAGCTGGCTTTGCACACATAGCCATCGATCAACCGGAGCATGATCAAATGATTTTTGGTGTTGATGCATCCCATCCAATGACTGAGAAGAATCAGACATCCACAGGGTGGACTGACCAAAACGTAGAGCACCCACTTCAACCATGATGAGTGATAGAGTCTCCCCAGTACACTTGTCGACTTGCAGAATCTGCCTTAGTTTTTAGAGGGAATCGATCTCACTGCTGGAAATAGTTGTATTTTTCTGGGGGGCGAAGAAGCAAATGGAGGACACTGAAGGGGCGAATGTGGGGCTCCCTCCCCCTCCCCTCCCTCCCCCCCAGCTCCCATGACTCATGAGCTTGGACATGTTCGCGGCCAGGCCCAAGACTTCCCGCGGGCGGCGCGTTTCCCATCGCAGCAGGCGCCCGAGAGAGAAACCACGGGAAATGGAATTGGGGGAGGGGGGATTTCGACCCCTGGAATTCCATTTAGGGTGCCGATTTCCCTTTTGTTGGGGAGGCTGAATAAATGGAATTGTGGGACCCTCCCCCTTAAGGTACGGGGGATGAATCGACAGCTTCACAGAGACAGGCTCCTGGAAGTTAATTGACAGGAGAAAGCGACAATACAGTCTGCTACAGAAGGATAGGAGCTGTGAATTCTGTATCAATTCACAGTTGGAAGCGGGACCGAGCTGTCTACAGTTTGTTGGAGGAGCTAGACCAGATACCCCCCCCCCCCCAAGCCGAGAGGCGGACGATATCCCTAGACTCAGGCTGACTTTTGTTAGATCTCCCACATGCGCCTCCAACCCCGCCTCCCCCCCAGAGCCCTTGCTTGTCCCCAAAAAATATCTTGTTTGGTATCTTTTACTGGGGGAAACCCTGCTTCACAAGAGCATGTGGTCCGCCTGACACAAGATGTAAGATAGCTGGTAGCTTTTGGGGTTTAGTGCTTGCGTTCATTTGCCTGCCATTTAGCCCACAAGTTGCACCTTTAGAAGGACATCAGACAACAAACAGCCCCGTTTGGTGTCCTTTTTAAGTTTGTTTGGTTAGATTTCGACGGGTTCCACTGGATTTCTGTTGCTCTTCCATTTACCAGGGGAACCCTTCGATTTTTCCAAAAAGCCACCTTAGAACTTGGTGGCTCGCAGCCATCCCCTTTGCTGGACTTGCATTTAACCCGCCAAAATTTCAATCTTTCCGCGGATCTGAGCACAGCCCAGAGAAGAACCCATCGATTTTTCCCAAGAGCCACCATAGAAGTTTGGTTGCCCGCTTGGTTCCCCCCTTGGTCCTTTCTTGGTCCCCCCGTGGTTCCCCCTTGGTCCCCCCCTTGGTCCCCCCTTCATTCCCCCGTTGGTCAGGAGTCCTGGTTCGAGGAGTTCGAGCGGGAGCGTCATGCCGCCTCGCGCCCCAAAAGCACGCGAGGAGGCGGACTTGGCCGCGCGCCCAGCGTTATCCGCGTGGACTTTGTTCCGCAGACTGCCGCATGGACGCCGCCAAGGAGCGGGGAACTTGATGTTTCTTGAAGTAGTCGTTGTTTGTTTTTGTGTGATGTTGTTTCTTTTTCTTTTTTGTTTGGGAATTTGGGGGGGGGGGGGGCAAAAGGATAATTATGTGCCACTTGCTTGAAAATTGTTTTGGGGGGGGGAGCAAAGATGAATAGTATCCACTAACAAAAGGCTGTTTGAAACCCTACTGAGAGCCAGAACAAGGAAACATAGCTCCCGCTTAGAGGGAAACGAAACAAAGCCAACCCTTTTTTGTTGGGTCCCCTATTATTGTAAACTTTGCTTCGCTTCCCGCAGATAGAGTGTGCCAACTTCGCCGTGGCAGTGGCCTCAGGTCTCATCATGCAATTACAATTGCCAATTCTCGATTCGGGGTGTTGGTATCTCAGTTGTTCAGTGGCTCCCTTTTTCCCATTTTTTTGGTGGCTGCCCCACTAAAAATGGTCCAAGCCCAAAAAAGGGTTCCCTTCTTTTTCCAGGGTCACTGAACAACTGAGGTATTATTGCAGTGCCTTTCCCCTAAGAAGATCCCCCTCACAACCCCAAACATGCTCTTTAGCACGTGGATGAAGACTGAAGAGAACCGAAGAGTGATGAGTCTCGCGACAGGGGGCCGTTTTTCAACAAGCATGTGTGTCCCCACACCAATTTGATTTGAAGGATGCGGGGGAGTTTGTGTTTTTTTGCTTTGTTGCATTGTTGTTATATTATTGCGACTTTTCATGTGGCAGTTTCCAAAAGATAATCATCGATTTTAGATTGCCGTATTGCCCTTTTCTGGGCAAGTTGTCTTTTGCTGATTCGGATGTGCGACGAGCGTTGCTCGAGGACTGTGGATGAGGAGGAAGCCGAGATTTGGTTGCTGCAGGCCAGGCCTGTGCATTCTAAAGGTCTGGCTTTGCCTGTTTTTGGTGTGATCCAACGGCTTCCGACGGGAGGAACACGAGCGGGGCGGGTGCATAAAGGAATCGTTCATGACGGACGAAATCCATTTCGAACCACCGTTCAGAAACCCTGATTTCTGATGATTGCCCCTGTAAATGCCCACGAAGTGACCATGGTTTCATTTCGTGGTGCGAAATGGATTTCGCAACCGTCCAGAGTATGTTGAAATGCTTCTAGGTCGGGGGGGTGAGGGTGGAGGGATTTTGGTTTCGGCTTTCAGCACTGTTTGACCAACACCGAAGGGTCTACGGCGCAAGACTCAGCTATCAGATGCCAAGCACACCCACGGCCGGTTTCATCTTGCTAGCGGGACACAGACATGCGGTTATCCCCACCGCCTTGCAATTAGAGGGAGGGGCGGGTGTCCCCTGAAATTGCATTCAAGGGTCCATTTCCCTTTTATGGGGGAGACTAGACACATTCCCCTCCCCATGGTAGAGGAATATGCGGCTTACCGGTTCTGGACCTGTCTTGCTGCTGTGTTTTTCTTTTTCCGCAGACACAAGGCACGCCCTTTCTCTATGACTGCCAGAGCCATAGCAAGGAATGCCATGGGAAATCATGACCCTTGATGGTCATGGACTCTATTTGTGGCTAGCCCCTAATAGTCACTGAGTTGCAATGGCTTTTCTTTTGGCTCCAAATCAGTTTCTGATATTGTTTGGTTCGCCAGTCATGCAGAAGATTAGGATGTTGAACCCCTTTTTGGCTAACAAAAGGGCATCACCTGTTCGGAGGGTTCCGGGTCAATGGGGGCAGCGAAATGCGAGCGGTTTGGATCCTATGAAAAAACTTGGAATGAGGGAATGACCCTTATAAACCATCCTTGTGGTTTCCTTTAAGGGGAATTTTGGGTTCATTTCATTTATCATTCCCTGCCTATCGCACCAGCAAGTTATGGGTCCCTGATTTATAATCCCACTTATTAGTAAGGGGGGTCCGTCTACACTTTTTGTGGGCGAGGCGGACCTCCGTGCCAAGCGGTTTTCCTTCGACCTGAGGCAGAGTTCGATTTCAAGGCCATGAAGAAGTTGGCCTGTCCGGAGGGAGACGCCTTACCGGCGCACGCGGTCTGGATGGCTTGCCAAGTGGTGGAGAAGGCGCTCCGCAAAGGGAACGGGCGCTTGTTTTCATGTGGAAGCAGGGGGAAGAAGAACATGTCAAGGGCATGTATCCCTCAGTTGGTTGGTTGGATTGGTTGTTTGGATTTGGATTTGAACCTCCGTGTAGAGGGTAGATTGGACACCACCCTTTAGCCACCAAACCACCGGGCTCCAAACCACCATTTAGAGGGAAGCTGGGTATGGGATCCCTGGTTTTCCTACATCCATGGAGGGCCTGTTTTTGTCGAGGGGCCTACCAAAGACCCGGTTAACATGGGTTGATGTGAAGTGATGAATGCTTATATACCCTCACCCCACTAACGTGGAAGGTGACAAGTCCCTTGGCACTGCTCTTCTCGTCTGGCCTCCAGCGAGCTTCCACGTTGGGAGGCTACCAGATATCTTACTCCCTTTCTGTCTATTTGGTTGGATTTTTGGGCTTTGACTGTTTGGGGAACAGCGATTTCCCATTGGACCCACACAAGCTTAAACCAATCTCAGGGGGTCGCTCCAACCCTGAAACACTCGTTGGATCTGCCAGTGAACATGAGCTGAGTGATCGTGGCAGGTTTGTGGTCGTGACTGGCATCCTGGAACCTACCGAAGGGTAAGACAAACATCAAGGGTTAATTCGGGTAAATGAGCGCTAAGCAAGGCTTAAGGATCGCATTTCTTTGTGGATTGGTCTGTTGGTCAGTAAGCATTCGGGCACCCTTACTTGTCCGAAACATGCTTTTCAAGTGAGAAAACCATCAGCAATCAGCTGCCCCAGGGCTTCTTTCAATCCTGAATGTGTCCAACCCGTTGTTTCAAGTGTAATTACTCAAGCGGATGACCATGGCTTCGATCCTTAACTCACTATTATGCAACCTACCTATAGCCTCACCCGCCCAAAGCCGACCTTTGGACCTTTTGGTTTTCCTGGTTTGGTCCATATTTAGTGAAGGTTCTTTTGTTTGGGCATTTGAGTAGCACGATGGTCTGTGTTGTTGTTTTTTTGCCTGGCTCTTGCGCTGCCTGCCATTTGGGGCGGGTCCCGGCTTCTTGTTTCGCGAACAATCGAGCGCCCAGTTTGTTTTGCTCCCCTAAAATTAAAAGCTAAACATATTGTGGATGGACAAAATCCAGCACCAGCAGAAACCAATGTTTGATATTTAATCAAATCATTCCACGGCTTCTTGGGTGGTGCGGGATTTCATCCATCCACAGTATTTCCAGCAGTGATAGATTCCCTTTGGGGCAAAGGGTGAGCAAAATGGAAGCAGCTTTTTCGGAGTTGGCTACAAGAACCTTTCCGGCCGCTTCAACATGAGTTTCTTTCTGGCGCGGTGACTTCTCTTTGAGGAACCATGTGGTGGGAAAGACACTTTGCCAACCACATCTGGGCCCTTGCGTTCACTCCCACATTCCCTACTAAGAACAAGCAAGCAAGGCAATGCTGAAGCAAAGCCGTCAAGAGAACAGAGAGCGGTAGAAAAGACCACAAACTGGAATGGTGTTCTCCGTTTGCGTGGTCCAGGTAGAAGGACCAGTCTGGTCAGCCCGGACCGAATGTCGAGTCGACCAATTCTTGACTGCTATTGGGCAACGGATGTTTAGACTTCAACTTTTTGGTTGAAATCAAGTTGGGTTTTCCACTAAGCCCCCAAAAAGTTGTCCACTTTTTGCAAGATTTCGGCCTAGGCGCTGAAGTCCGCGATGCTGCGAACCTGCGGTGTGGCACAGGAGGAGTTCACTGGCAAGGCCAGGTGTAGCAGGCTGAGGTGTCGGGGGGCTGGGGGGCTGGGAGCCCAAATAAGCCCTAAAGAAGGCCTTATTTAGGGTATAACAAGCTCACCGTATTCAGCTTGCTTGGCCAGTCCACTCAAGAAGTCTTCCGTAAAAATAGGACAACTCAGAAGTAGAACCACTGGCCGAATGGTCTTGCTTTCCATTCGGGGATGTGGTAAAATACGCACGCCCGGGCGGGCGCTTGCGGGCGCTTTGCTCGCTAAGCGAAGCGCGTTGCTTGGCAGGACTCCCATGACCTCCCCGCCCTCTACAAGCGCCTGAGGGCGGCAAGTGCGGAGACAGAGCCACAGATGCAGGCGCATGGGTCGGACTGCAGACACGGAATTCGCGTTAGATGGATTTCATACCGCGGATGGACAAATTCACGTTAAACGCACCAGGGGCGGTGGCTTATCAAAAACATTTGATACGGGTTGATCCATGTCCATCCAGTCTCCGGGCCGGGATTCTCTCCTTCCCGGCCATCAGATAGAGTTTGCTTTGTGGAGAAAAGGTGAATCTTGCAAACCAAGGGGTGGCCCCACAGACACCGACAACAACTTTGGTGCAATCCAAGGTTGGTGATGTAGCCCTGAGAATATGGGCCCGTCCTTTGAAGGCACCCCCCCAATTTTTGGTGGTTTTCATGGACCAATAAAAGGAACCACACACTGGTGGCGCACCCGGGGACTGACAAGGAGACGTTTCCGAGTGCTTTTTGTTTGTTTAGGGCTCGCGGATGTCAGGGCGTGCAATTCGGACACATTTTAAACTGTAGATTGAGTGGCAAAAGGCACCATTGGAATATTCTCACGCACACGGACATATGCAACCCGACAAAAGGAGGTCTTCTAGTTTGATGGTCAATGGCCTAGTGGATGGGGTTTCCATGCCCCCCTTGCCCAAATCTTCTCGACCCCTCGGTGTTTCACTCATGTCATGGTAAGTCAACATGGTTCGCTTCCAGATAATCTTCAGGATTTATATTTGATGTTGATTCAATATTTACTGGTTTATTATTATTAATAATTGTATTTTGTTCTATTTTATCCAAAGGTTTTTCAAGATCTTAAAAATGAGAAACACATAGTAGATGTTTGAAGGCATGCCAATCTAGGGCAACAAGTCCCGCCCAGGCCAACCTCTTGAGGCAAATGGGCTTGACATTCCGTCGTGGGCAATTGCTAAAACGGTAAGGGTGGAGAGCGTACTTGGCAGATCAGGCCTCATGTGGCGCTATTTTGGGGATGGCGGTGTTATGTCCTTAGCTGAGTTTATGTGTGTGTGTGTGTGTGTGTGTGTGTGTGTGTGTGTGTGTGTGTGTGTGTGTGTGTGTGTGTGTGTGTGTGTGTGTGTGTGTGTGTGTGCGTGTGTGTGCGTGTGTGTGTGTGTGTGTTTTTTTAATGCAACTTTGGTTTGGTGGAAATCCCCAGTTTGGGTTTATCTGGGCTCCTGCCCCGAACCTGATGCGAGACGATATTAATTACCGTCCCTTGCGTGTTGATGGGGGATTGATCCGTGGCAGGGAGGGCTTAACAGACCTCATGGTGTGCCAAGTTTTGGGAGAGGCCAGTGATTTTTTGAGCGCATGGCGAAAAACAAAACTGAGACACATGCGAGTTCTGGGACGTGCCCCAGCAACATCTTGCTGGTGCTCAGCAGGGAACAACCCAGGTATTGAAAGGAAGCCATAGGGGATGGCTTTCAGGGGTCATGCCGCAATTCTATGCTGAGAACCGGCAAGACATTGAGAAAATTCGTCAACACTTCCAGGAGGGATTGAGCCTCAATCGCTTTCTTCCAGGATTGAGAGTTGGGGGATTTGCCCCAAAATGCCTGGCATCGGAGACAGGCGCAGCAGCAGTTGCCCGGCACACAGCAGGACCAGAGAAGCAACGGGCCAATCGGCCAGTCATTTCTTTTTCAACTCGGGCAGCCTTAGGCGTTTGGATTGGCGGCTTGGGTGGGATTGGAGAGGGTGGTTAGAAACCACACAGCCAAATCATCCGTGACAAAAAAGCTTAGAGGCCTTTCCGGGGACCTTTGTTTCTTGTTATTTCCTTGCCTCGTAAGCGGGATCCAAGCCGATTTCCGCATTTGGTGGCTTCAAAAGCATCACCTTTTGTTTGCCTAACCCGCTCCCTGTGAAGACCATTGTGGTGGCAACCAAAAAATATGGTCACTTGGCTGTGGGTCACTTGGCTGTGGGTGAAATTATCTACCCAAAATGGAATCCTGGTAAAAGGAAACATGGACCAAAACCTGCGGCCCCCTGCTTTTATTTTTTTTTTATTTTTTTTGGCCCATACCCACTTGGTTGGGCAGTCCACTCGATCGGAAGTGAGCAAAGGGATGTGGACTTGGGGTTTGGATCCATAGGCGTCCGGTCAGCAAATATAAAGTTCGGTTACTTTTTTTGGGCCATCCACTCAGCCAGTGAGGTTGAGCATAGCGTCCGGATCTCCACTTGGCTTGACGCTTAGAGCCCTGGGGCCACCGGGCTGAATTCCACGAATCTCAAGCCGGGGGCTGGGGCTCAGGACTGGCACGGGACGCCACCCCCAAGTTTCTGAGAACTCAATTGTACCAGGCCCCCCAGCTTTACGAGTCCTTTTACGAGTCCTTTCTTGGGGCTTAAACTGCAGAAAATGGGTAATTGCCCTTGTTCTACCCTCTCTACTAGAGGACCCAGTATATTAAATTACTAGAATTGGAAATATTGATCTACAAATACATATATATATATATACACAGGCTAGGAGCACAATCGTTGGTGTCCTTTTGTCGGTGCGTCTAGTGAGAAATAGATGGGTTCCATTGGTTTAGATTGTTTTTGTCGGCCCATTTACCAGACAAACCCATCTATAGTTTAGCAAAAGGAAAGCTATGGAAAGTTGCGATGCAAACAACGTACTACTGTTTTCTATGCAAATGAATGGGATAAACACTAGCTGGTGGTTGGAAGGGAGCCAAGGCGCTGGGGGTCTCCAATTTTGCCGAGTCAAAGAGGGAGACTTTTCGGAGCGGCTGATCGGAGTCCTGGTTAGGGGCATGTTGGGGCACCGGACCTCCTCCACTCCACCCCTGAGATTTTTCATGGCTACATGTTCTAGATGAATATATGCATTTCTACATATACCTCTATATATATATATACATATGGGCAGTGTAGGTGAAGAATGGTCTAGGATTTTTCATAAACAAGTGAGTGGGGAATTTGCCAAACAGACAACCAGCTGTCGCGTTCAGAAAGTTGCGCGTCCGCAGGACATGGCCTGGCTCAAGGAGGCCTACCTGGCCGCGAGGTATCCCAATGCCTGCGGCAAAAGGGCCGTGCCGGCCCTCGCATACAGCGAGGCTCGAGCGCTCAAGAGCCTCAAGCGCGGCCGTTAGGGACATCTGCGTTGGTGGGGCCATTTTGTTTCCGCTTAAGGGGGGGGTCCCTGCTTAACTGTTCTTGTCAAAGTTTGTTGTTTTTAGTTTTCTGGTTCTGGTCATGTGTGGGGGGATGCCCAAAACAAGCCGGGCTGGAAACCGTCGGGCTTTTTTGGACCAAATCTGTGTTTCGCTCAGTGCTTCCTCTTGTTTTTATCCCCAAAACACGCTTAAAAAACACATGTTTTTGCTAGAGCCTGGAGGGGTCACTTCAATCAGGTAAATGTGTTACTTCAAGGGATCAACGTGCGCATGCCCATGGCTCGCAACAGTGTCCTGAGCAAGTCGTAATGAGATCTGGAAAAGGGTATGCGCCGGTGGCTGAAAAGGGTATGCTTACCGTTTGGCTGGCATGGATACAGTAGCAAGTGCCTTATCAGTTGGCTGGCATGGATTCAGTGTGCTGAGCGGGCGCTCGTGAGCGGGTGTTCTTGCCATTTGGCTGGCATGGATACAGCGCTGAGCGGGTGCGCGTGAGCGGGTGCGCTCGGCAGTTGGCTGATGCCAAGGGTTAGTATCCCTAAAAGGTGTTTAAATGGTGGCTTTCAACATTGCCGTTTAGGCCAACTTGAAGTGAGTGTCCTTTTGGTAGAGTGATGTTTTCAAAGGCTGGATCTTTGGATTTTTCCAGGGAAACTCGCTTTCCAAACCCAGCCAGGGGCCTCCTTAGCCCACTGGGACCTAGCTGTTTGTAGAGCTGTAATCCATGCTGTTGGCCCCAGTTTGTCAGTGACACCCCATTTTTTTCATTTTGTTTGGTGGCTTCCGCACTAAAGTAGACAAGCCGAACAAGGTTTCCCTTTGAAACCAGAGTCGCTCAAAACCTGGGTGTGCGAAGCATTTTGCGTGGCTTGGCTTTGTTGCACCTGACCCTCGGCTACGTGCAACTTCTAGGTTGGCACCTTTTAATCCACAGTATGGTCACCTTTTGGGCGTTCCCTTCGCCAGCGACCATACTGTGGATGACGAATCCCATTTCGCACCACTTTGAAACCTTAGGAAGCCATTGTTGGGTATTTATTTACAAGGCGAAATGGATTTCGTCCATCCACAGTATGTGTGTACATGATACCATGTTAGTTACTACATAGTTTTCCACTAAGTATTTCCTTCATGTGGCCTCCTTCTTCTTCACCTGGAACCAAGCCGAAGGGGCCATGGTGAGTTGCAGCATTTCCGCTTGACTCGAGCTGCTTCTCCGGCCTTTTCCTTTCCCAGTGGAGCTCCGCGCCAGGCAACTTGATTGGTTTGTGCCAACTTCCATTTGGTTAAAAATGTTTAAGAACAGAACCTGTTGGTGTACAAGGGAATCGGAATGTGTGTGTTTTTGTTTGTTTTGTTTTTGTTTTTTCTCCCCCTGTTGTTTTTTGATAATAAGGGAATCGATTTCACTTCTGGAAAATAATGGAACTATATTTTTTCCAGGGGACTTAAGCAAATGGAGGCCAATAATTATTCATGTTTCATCCATCCAGAGAACTGGTGCAGCATGTCGTCTATCTACAGTTCATTGACTTAACACGTTTAGCGGTTAGACCATTTTAGTGGCAAACAAAGTCTTAGGGAACCCGCCCCCCCCCCCCCCCCCGACCTGTGTCCATGTGAACTGGGAGGGCAGAAATTTGGCCCGAAAGCGCAGGACACCGATCCAATGTTTCTTTTTGCAGACTCGGAGCCGCCGACATGTGGCTGTGGGTCAAAAATGGGTACCCACAATGGAACCCTGGAAAATGGCAGCAAAGACTAAAGCCGCGCAATCCTAGCTCTTTAGTTTTCAGCCACACCCATATCCATGAAAACACTTCAACTTGGGGTGACTTCGGCATCCCGGTCGTCAGCCCTTTTCATCAGGAATTTCGGCCACCAAGGATCACTCGCCCAGAGGCTCCATGAAAACGCTTCAACTTAGGGGTCCCTTTGTCACTTGCGGCATCCCAAAAAAAGACTGAGGCTTCCTTACGACTGACTTCCTGAGTTCATGAACTTTAAACTTTTTGGGAAGACCATTTGAGTGGTAAATATAAAGTTTGGACTTTTTTTGTGCCATCCACTCAGCCAGTGAGACGAAGCCTTTAAGAGAACCCCCCCCCCCTTGGACCCGTGTCCATGTGCCCTTGGACCCTCCAGGCGGACGCGGCCCGCGCGGAAGCTCTGGCGCGGGCCTACGTGGCCTGGGCCAAGGGCCTGGAAGATTTGCCCGAGCCGGGCGCGAAGCGCTGCAGGCGGGGAAGGCCATCCGTTCCACCCAAGGAATTCACCTTCACTGTTCTTGGATCATGTGTTTTCTTCTTTTTTTTCCTCGTTTTTTTGGTTCTGTTCATTTTTACTGGGGGCTGCAAAAAAGAGACAGTTTTTCCCCAAACAGCGAAGCATTGGGGTTCTAACTTGAGGTATAGAGAATGGGAAAGTGTGACGCCAGTTCCGGGGTCCTGTTTTCCGCTTGTCTTCCTGTCTCCCAGTCTCTGCGGTCAGACGCCAGATGCTGTGACGCTGGCTCCGGGGTCGTGTCTCCCGCGTGTCTTCCTGTGTCTCGCAGTTTCTGCGATGGTGTGACGCTGGCTCCGGGGTCGTGTCTTGTCTCCCTGTGTCTCCCAGCTTCTGCAGTCAGAGGCCAGATGCTGTGACGCCGGCTCCCGGGGTTGTCTCCCGCTTGTCTCTCCTGTGTCTCCCAGTCTCTGCGGTCAGATGCCAGATGCTGTGACGCCGGCCCCACTTGTCTCCCTGTGTCTCCCAGTCTCGTCTTGTCTCGTCTCCCACCAGTGTCTGTGTCCTGCTTTCCCTGTCTCTGCGATGCTGTGACGCTGGCTCCGGGGTCGTGTCTCCCGCTTGTCTCCCTGTGTCTCGCAGTCTCTGCGATGCTGTGACGCTGGCTCCGGGGTCGTGTCTCCCGCTTGTCTCGGCTCCGGGGTCGTCTCCCGCTTGTCTGTCTCCGGGTCATATCTCCCACTTGTCTTGCTGTGTCTACCGAGAAAAATAGACATATTCAAAGCTCAACATTGCTTGCTTCTAGCTCCAACGATGCTCCACAAGGATGCAAACCTGCTCTTGACCAAGAGAGAGGTACATCCTTTGCACACAGGCTAACAGCACAATCTGCGACATGCCCTTTCCCCACTGCTATTCATTTTTGCAAGTCGTTCCTTCTCACTTCGAATCTATGCTTCTAACTGGACTGCTTTTGATGCTTCTCAATTGCGCTTGCGCGCTAATGCCACGTGAGCCGAAAGGAGCCGAAGGGAGCCGAACGCCGGTTACTGGATGCCAAGCAAGCCAGGTCAGCCTCAAAAACTCACAAAGAAGAAGCAGCTTCAATTGGTTTTGCCCGGGGCCCGGGACCTTCATTTTTTGGTTGAGGGATGTAAGCATTAAAAACAGCCAGCTGGCAGCAAGCAAGGTCAGCCCCAACACTGGCAAAGAAGAAGCAGCTTCAGTTGGTTTTGCCCGGAGCCAGCGTCAGCATCTGGCATCTGACCGCAAAGAGTGGGAGACTCAGGGAGACAAGCGCAAGACACGACCCCGCAGCCAGCATCACAGCATCTGAAGGAGACAAGCGGGAGATGGGAGACACAGGGAGACAAGCGGGAGACACGACCCCGGAGGCAGCGTCACAAACAAGCGACAAGCGGGAGACACGACCCCGGAGCCAGCGTCACAGCATCTGGCATCCAGACACAGAGAGACAAGCGGGAGACCCCTGGGAGACAAAGGACAAGCGGGAGACGGAGCCGGCATCACAGCGGCTGGCATCCGACCGCAGAGACTGGGAGACACAGGAGAGAAGCGGGCACTGGGAGACAAGCGGGAGACACGACCTCGGGCCAGCGTCACAGCATCTGGCATCCAGACACGGGGAGAGACACACAACCCCAGCGTCACAGCGTCTGGCATCCGACCAAGCGGGAGACACGACGCAGCATCTGGCATCCTCAGGAAACTGAGCTGCTTTTTAGAAGCCAGTGCCGCACTTCTTGGCCAAGTGCAGGTTTGCATCCTTCCTGTCAAGCCCTAAATATGTCTATGTTTCTCAAGCAAAAATATACTGTGACATCCGGCTGATTGCTTTGCTCGGGACACTGAGCTGCTTTTTGGAAGCCAGTGCCGCACTTTTTGGTCAAGTGCAGGTTTGCATCCTTGTGGCGCATTAGCAGAGCCCTGTCGAGCCTTAAATATGTACAAAGGGCCCCACAGTAGACTGTTTTCGATAGACCAATACCGTGACATCCGACTGATACTGAGCTGCTCTGTGGAAGCCAGCGCCGCACTTCTTGGTCAGCTGCAGGTTTGCATCCTTGTGGCGCATCAGCAGAGCCCTCCGTTTTGTTCAAAAACAAATATCGTGACATCCGCCTGATTGCTTTGCTCAGGATTCTGAGCTGCTTTTCGGAAGCCAGTGCTTCTGGCGCATCAGCAGAGCCCCCTTGAATATGTACTGTTGTTCTCGATAAACAAATACCGTGAACAAATATACTGGGACATCCGGCTAGGATACTGGGCTGCTTTTGGAAGCCAGTGCCGCGCTTCTTGGCCAAGTGCAGGTTGGCATCGACCGCGGAGACACACTTAGCGCTGTCGGACTTCTGGCGGGGACACGGTGTAAAAAGCGGTTTCTTGACATGTTTTCCTGTTGGCATTTTTCCGGCTGACATCTTCTAACAAGAAAGCATTCGTGGAGTTGACCAGACTGGGCTGGCATTTGCGAGTGCTGGCCATGAATGCAGGTGCGCAGGTGGACAAATGGCAGACAATTGAGGGTTTCCGGCTAAACACAAAGCATTTAGCTTGGACTTTTGCAGCGCTGTGATGGTGAGGGTGGATGAGGAGGATTCTGTTGATTCTGTGGCTGATGAAGGTGGTGACGATGATGATGATGATGATGATGGCGATGAGGGTCAGGATGACGAGGATGAGGAGGATGATGATGAGGAGAAGGAGGGTGATGATGAGTGTGATGGTGATGAGCCACAGAGAAGTTGACGGTTTCGTTGACAGTTTTGCTCTGAGTCAACAAGCCCTTGGAATGGAGAAGGGGCACGGCTCCACTAAGCATTTTACCAGCGAAGCAACAAGAGGGCTTGCGCGGGCCAGCCACCATCTTAGCCAAAATCGTATGAAGCGGGGGGAGGGGGGCTCTAGGCAACAGCGCTGCAGGAAAGACCTCCAGCGGATGACACCAGCAAGTTGCGCAAGCAAAATGCCACTAGCAAAATGGCGCAAGCCAGTAGCAGCTCAGACAACTTGCTCATTGAAACTTGTTCAGAGAAACTTGCTCTGAGAACTTGCTCTGAGAACTTGCTCAGATAGTTTGTGCCAAGAACTTGCTTGGAGAACTTGCTCAAAGGAACTCGCGCCAACAACTTGCTCAGAGGAACTTGCGCAGAGAACTTGCTAGGATTACTTTGTGCCGTGCACTGCTCATGCTTTCGGGCCACCCATCTTCTAGTTTTCTCTTGGTAGCATCACTGTTGTTCGAGCACCCTTTCTTGTTGGCAGTGCTGTTGTAAACCTCGCCTCCTCTCTTGTTGCCAGTATTTAGCACCTTCTCAGTTGGATAGCCATGTGGCCTGGCCAAAATCATATCCAGTCTTTCGCCAGCTGGTCCTGCGACGTTTTTTCCTCTTTGCAACCTATGTACTCCAGTCCCACTGACAAACGCATTTTGCTGAAGCATTGCACACATTTGTGATGCCAAGCTCGCGGCTTGACGTATCTCGTTGCCTCCTGACAGAGGGGTTGAAGACAAATTTCTCATCCTTGTTTTCCACACATTCTGCAATATGGACGCTGCTGTTTTGCAAGTGCTCAGGGCTTGCAAGTGCGAGAGGGCTAAAGGGTTTGCATGGGGACGTTGTAAGGTGCCATTATCATTCTCTGAGGCGCTAGCTTCCCTACAGTCTCTGGACCCATGGAACACCAAAACGGTTCAACGTGAGCTGTACTGCATGGCGCTTGTGCTAGCCTCACAGTGAGTATTTTTGGAACTCCGAGCAATTCCATTCTCGCAATCAACGTTCTTTTCCGAGATCTCGACTTGAATTTGGCAGCTCCGGGCGAGATGCTGATTTACTTGCTCGCAGCATACGTGGCTTGTCGGGAAACCAAGCTGGAGGGATGTGCTGATAGCATCAAGACCATCGCTCACCGAAGCAACACGCGCTAAAGACACGGCCCCTCCAGTTCTTCTTTGACGACACAGCTTTGCCTCCACTACGCCTTGAACATCGATTCCGACCCGTTCTCGCACAAGGTTTCGGTGCTGCTGGACACACTGCGTGCGTGGCGAACTCCCCAGCAACTATTTCGGAATGGTGGCTCTGGTTCTCAATGTGGTAATTGCAACACACGGTCATGGCCATGTTTCGACACATGTTCGGTGGCTGTATAATCTAATAAGAGTTGCTAACGCCGCAGTCTGCAAGTTTATGCAAGTTCTCTCTTGCTTTGCTTGTGGCAAGACCTTTAGCCGAGCTTCAGAAGAAGATAGCAACCAGAAGTGGCATGTGCCCAGTCTCGGCCGCAAGCTGCTGAGACTGATGCGCAAGTTTCAGCAGAGTAGCGAGACGGCCACCAAATGCTGCGGTGATGGAAAAGTGCATTGAGTGTCCGTGCTACGGAAGTTCCTTCGAAACTTCCTTTGATTAATGCCAGGTGTTGGGTTGATTCACCCCGAATCCCTGAAGCCTTCACTCTCGAACATGGCACTGACATGGCATTTTCCTCCTCAAAGTCGATGAACAACATCGATGCGTTTAACCGGCGTCAAGGAGATAGATGGACCCGATGTGTCCTCTTCCCAAAAAAGGGGGACTTCCTACATGGACACACATAGACTGATTGTAACTATGTGTTGCTCACATAAGCTACTCAATTTCGCACCTTACATGAAGGAGACAAGCCTTTTTTGGGTTATGCAGACCTGTCATGTTTTTTTGCTGTTTGGGGTCGAGGCTGGTGTAATTCGCAAATCCATACCAAGAGTAGAGATGATTCACATTGTGACCAGGGGTTCCACTTTTTCACACTGGACATATTTTTCCAGGGGGCTTAAGTATGGAAAATTGACTCAGGGTTCCACTTTTTGACTACCCCAAGGTCACAGATCATTGGACTTGAGCTTTTTGGTCGGATTTTCCGAATTGGACCTACAAGAAGTTAAACCTTCTGCAAAGACTGCCCTCTCACAGGCTAACTCGGGGTTCACATTGTGCCTCAGGGGTTCCACTTTTTGACTACGGGTAGACTTAAACTCAGGGGTGGTTCAGTACCCCCAGAGAACCCCTGCTAGGTTTCAGTCTATCTCTTGGAGTACCCAAAAAGCGCAACCCCTGTCGTAACTACCCTCCCCCAGGCTGTCATAAAAGCTGCCAGAAGGCAACTCTGAATGGAAGCAAGTCTTTTTTACGGGTCCTGCAACCTTCCATGGAATGGAAATTTCTACAAAAAGGGCCATTGGGTACATCAGGAAATCAGGTGGTAAGTCGGTATGCGTATATGCATGGCTCCGGAGTGCTTACCTCACGTGCCCGATCGCTCCTTGATGTAAGGCTACTATAGGCGAAGTCAAACATCTCAAGCTAGGACACAGGTACCTTTCAGCGCCAGTGAAGTTTGGTGTTCGTCGGTTTTCCTATCTGATAGGTATACCTTTAGCATCATTTCGCTCAACAGGAGGGATTGCCGCTTTTTGTTGGCTTTTGCAGGTAGAGCTCATGAGCGCAGTCGCAGGGTTCCACCAAGGGTTCTGTCAACCAAGGCTTCCACCAGCCAAGGCTTCCAAGAGGTTCCATGGCTTTACGTGACGTCGATACATTGCCAGGTTCCACCGGTTGACTTCCAAGGGTCGCACCAAGGTTCCGCGGCTTTGCGGGAGGGTCAAGACTCCGCCAGGACCGCGGAAGCCTGGCAGGAGGTGGAGATTTCGCCGGCCGCCCCGCCCGCCGCGGGCCCCCAGGCCGACGTTCCAAATGCGAGCCCCGACGCCACGCCCAAGCGCCGGCGCCTGGGGCACTCGCCGCCGCTGACGCCGCACGCCGGGCCCCTGCCGTCCGCGCCGAAGCCGCCCCCCTTGGCCACCAGACGCTTCCACTTGATTCAATAACGCTGTGAATGGACGAGTTCCATTGCACACCACCCTGCGGAACCCCTGGAATTATTCGATTTACACTGCAAATGCCAACAATCCATGGTTTTAACTCACAACCCCTTTGGAATGATTCGATTCACACTGTAAATACCAACAAACAATTGTTTCAACCATGGTTTCAAAGTGGTGCGAAATGGATTTCGTCCATGGACAAGTATATGCTTATTTTCCCCTGTTTATTTTCCACAGCATGTTTAAAGCGAACTTTCTGCTGTTTGCGTTCTTTTCGGGGGACTTGTGCAAATGAAAGGACGCCTGCAGCAGATCGAGACCGATGCCAAGCCGCTGACAGAAGGATGAGGACGGGCCATGAGCCTTGCAGTGCTCCCTTGGTTTGATTTTGGGCCGTGGCGTCTTGAGGCTAACCAGTTAGTAATGCTTTCAGTTCTGGGTGCTTTGGGCACGTGAGAACCCAAACACACCCTTGCACACATGCCATGATGCCATGGAGAAGGAACATCCATGATTGATGCGGCAATAGCTGTTTGTTTGTTTTTTTTTTCAGTTTTTTTTCTTCTTATTTTTGTTTTCTCCGGGTATTGCTCAGTGAATATATTCTGCCCCATGCGAGCTTGGCAACATCGACGGTTTACTCTCACGTAGGGGGCCAGCCATGGTTCAGAGATCAGGAGAGCTTCGCTGATCTTGGAAATCGAGTGGTTTGGGGTGATAAAGGTGCTTGGTGGGGGCCAGCTTTTGAAAGTTAAAGCTTCGCCAGTCATCGATGGAAACGTGGAGTGCCAGAAGCAAGCCTCGACCGTCATCCCCCGCCCCTCACGTGTTGTTGAGGCTGCGTATCCCCAGTAAAAGACATTTACCCATACAGCCCATGACGTTTACTTTGCGAATGAAAGGGAAGGTAAAGTATGGACGGAGGCCCACTTCTGTCCCAGTTTGGAGGCGGATCAGCTTACTCTCTACTGGAAGCAAAGCAAGCAACAAGGAGTTCATGCTACTGTGGATGGACGAAATGCTGCAACACCGAAGAAGCTCTGGCATGATGCTTCTCATGTAAATTCCAACAAAATCCAACAAACAATGGTTGCTCATGGTTTCAAAGTGGGTCGAAATGTATTTCATCCATCCACAGTATGACCACACTCATCCCTACTTATGTTTTTGTCAAGTTGTGTTTCACGATGTGTTTGGTTTTGTGTGTGTGTGGGATCGTGCGGAAGTGCAGGAGCCCCAAGCTTCCCACACGTTTGCTGCGCAGTTCAGCGCATGTTTAATCCGCATTTGAGGCGCTTTGGCCTCTTGACTTTTAATGCTAGCTCGCACTGGCGAGACAGAGCCAGTGCGAGCTATCAGACCACGACCCAGTGTGGCTTTTCAATACTATAGCTACCTGTGCACCGACTTACTTGGAACCTGCCTGACAGGCTTGATCACCGGCCGGGGGGGCACGCATTGCTTTGCCTGTGGCGAGGTCGTTGCAAAGGTGCTGGCGAGCTCGCCATGATGGTCCCTTACTATCCCTCGCTTGAGAAAGCCAATTCTGCTTTCACTTGCAGCGAATGAGGGAACGACCCCCACAGACCATCCCATGGATTTCCTAGAAAATAGACCCTGGGTCATTCATTCACTACTGGGGGCTTATTCTACAATCTGCAGATGATCAATTCTTAGGTTCTTTGTGGTCAGTGCCACGGGCTAGAGATAGCGCCGGCATTCAGCAGTGCAGGCAAAGCGGCCTCGGAGCTGAGGAACTGTTTCATAGAACTGGAACAAACGTTCCTGGGGTGTTCCCGGCCTAGGTGCCCAGTAGTGCCCTTCTCTCCCCTTTTTTGGTTGGGAGGGTTCCCCTACTAAAATAAACTACACAAAAAAGTTGGTACCCTTATTCTACTGGAGTAAATAGTGGTGGTTCCCGGCCATCTCCTTAGGTTGTTTGTTTTTCGGGGTTTAGTGGTTGGGTGTCCATGTAATCCGCTAAAAGTCAAGCTTGTAGCGGGGGATCCGAAAACGAACAGCCCAGGTGAATAACCTTTTGGTTCAGAGCTTGGAGCCTTCTTTTGCGAAAGAGCTGAGTGTCCATCCCAAACATCATGTATGTTGCTTTCTTTATGTTGCACCCCCCTCTCATTTCAGTAATCAATGTGCGTCTATGCCAAAGCAGGGTGGTCTTTTGTAGCTTCTCCCGTACTGAAGAAAGTCGACAGAAAAACTTTGCATGATTGGCCTTACGTAGGCCGCCCAAGAATAGCACGATGCCTCGCAGAGGTATGCTGGCCGAACTTGTCCCCAAAGACAGGTGGTAGAAGGACCACCTTCCGCATGTCCAAATCACATTCGTCCCCCCTTCCCATTTCTCCCCTTAAAGTCGGAGTTCTTGTTGCCTCCATGCACGTGTTCATTTTGCGCAAGTGTTGTCTTCAGGGCCGTTCCACCAATGACTTGTAGAAGGGTAAAATTCCAGGGCAGCCAACAATTCAAAGCACCAAGCAAGTGAAGGCTGACAAAGAAATCTGGGTCTGTTTTTTGAGGCTACCCCTTTTTGGTGGTTTAAAGAGCAACCAAAAGGACACCCCCGATTTTGGGGGTGATCCCTAACAAACACACCCATCCAGGTGTCTTGCTAAACTTGGTTTTGTGAATGTACCAGCCTAGAAACCCCTTAGCGAGGCCCCAGAAGCCTTACTCACCTAAGAACCCCTGGTTTCTGATGGATGCCCCCTGTAAATGCAACAAACTTTATGGTTTCACCCATGGTTTCTTGGGCGGTGCGAAAGGGATTTTTTTTGTCCATCCACACTACGGGTATACAAAGACGGAGCTTGGAATGCCTGTCCGCCCCCCCTCCCCCCCCTTCAGCCTGCGTAGCTCATGTTTTTACCAGTCAACTTGCAGGGACCAGGGTGGTGTGTCTCTAGCCCACAATGGGCGGCTTCAAACGACCCCAGAATGGGTATCCTCCGCAGATGTCAAGCAGAATAAGATACACCCATACGAACAAGTCATGGATATGCTCGACAGATCCGTGGCAAGCTGGACTTGCCTGTCGCACTGCCGGCCTTTCAAGCGGGGAGGCGGCCAAGCCACCTGCAACAGAGCTAGCCTAGTTCGAAGAGCGTGCCAATCTAGTTGCTGGCGTGGTGCCAAGAAAACGGCAGCATGTTTGTAGATCCTTCAACATTCCCTATCCGCCTCGTTCAGAATCTTCATGGGCTCAGAAGGCACGCGCATCCTAGTTCTGAAGGGAACGCGCCCCGTGCCCAGATATACCCTTACAGCAGTGTCCACGTGCATCCGTGCATCCCAAGCTATCACTTGGGTTTTCCCGCTTAAGGACACCATGGTGGGAACACGGACTCAGACCTTTGTCCCCGAACACGAGACAGATCAGCTTCCCACTAATTGGTGGTTTGGAATGGTTTTGTTGGGGATTTGAACGGGTCCCTGCTTCTTGTAGAGGGTAACTGGTTTGCCCCTCCATTTCACCATCAAACCACCGATTCGGCTCCAAACCACAAATTAGTGGGGAGCTGAACATATGGCCATGGCAAGTTGCAGATGTCGTGACAACACCCCGCTTGCCTCGGCGCCTCGGTGGAGACAGAACCGGCGGAAAACATGTCGACTGGGTCTCGGGAAAACATCCCCTCCCGCCCCCCCCCCCCCCAAAAAGAAAAAAGAAAGAAGAAAATAAAAGGAACACACATGTGGCTTTCCTTTTGGCTTCCCTTAGTGTTGACTTGTAAGGCCTTTGTTCATTTCGGAATGCAGTTTTAAGGAGACCAACGCCGGGGTATTGGCTGCAACTGGGGATTCCCAACCAAGCAGTCCGTCGGTTTTGGGCTGGGAAACCACCAGTTCACGGGATGTTGAGACACGCCCTGTGGGGATCCCAGGCCAAAGTCATTCAACATGACAACAAGGTAGCCCAGTAGTACCCTTTTGTCCCCTGTTTTGGTTGGGAGGGGAAGCCCCTACTAAAATAGACTAGAGAAAAGAAGTTACCAACTTATTCTAACCTCTCTACTGGAGGACCTGGACAGGGAATCTGGATCTGGGTCAAAACGAACGGTACCATGTTGGGGTAGATGCATCACCCATTTTAGAACCTTTTTTGTTCGGATCGAATCGGATGTTCACTGGGGGTACGATCTGGATTTTGACCCATGACTATTATGCCATGTCCTACAAAATGCCAACCTCGCAGAAGTTTCCCAGGTACTTCCCTTGGCTTAAGACGCGTTGGCTTTAAAGGGAATCTATCAAATATGTGCTGAACATGACTGAACATGTTTTATGTTCGACGGGGACACAGTAGTCGAGGGTTCTTAGCCGTGCCTTCGCTGCCCAGCGTGGCTCAAAGCCGAGTGCTCGTCAAGAAAACACGGCGGGACGATGCGCGCCGGAACGCGACAACAAAAAACAACTTAAGCTTGGGCAGCACTCATTGCCGGACTTAGTCTCACTTCCTGAGTTCCGAAACTTCATACTTGGGAATATAACTTCGGAAGTAAAGTAACCAGTTCGGATTTGTTGTTGGCCCATCCACTCGATTGGAAGTGAGTAGTTTAGTTTCTTGGAGAGGAAGTAAGCGACCTTAAGCTGCTTGAGGTGAAACGGCTGCCAGAGCTGATACGTCCAGGCTTTGCGTGCAAGTTAGAGCCATGAATGTCACTGGTTTAGATGGGGTTAATTCCATTTACCAGGGAAAAATTGTCGATTTTATTTCAAAAGGGCACCTGCTGTGGATGGACGAAATCCATTTCGCTTCAGAAACTATGGAATGGTTCGATTGCCTTGAAATGCCATGGTTTCAACCATGGTTTCACAGTGGTGCGAAATGGGTTTCATCCATGCACAGTATGGCTAGAGCACTTGAACATTTGACACGCGTTGTTCAATAGGACAGGATTCCTTGTTTTTTCTTTGTTCTGTTTGTTTGGAGTGGAGGGGCCGCAAAAAAATAAAGTACCGGGAATTCAACGGTGGCTATTTGGCAACGGATCATTGGTCCTTAACTTTTGGTTGAAACCAGCTCGGGGGTTTCCATTGAACCCACAAGAAGTGATCAACTTGTTGCACGGGCGTTCCAGCAAACCAGACCCTAGCTTCAAATCTAGCTGGAACCCGGGCCGCACCCATCAGAGGCACTGGTGAGCCATGGGGTTTTGGCTCCTCTCGGGCGCTGCGGCGGCGCATTTATTTCAGGCATGGGGTTTTGAGGACCCACCTCATCACCTCATGCAGCCCCAGTAGCGCCCTTTCACCCCTCTTTTTTTGGTTGGGCCCCCTACTAAAAAAAGCTACAGACAAAAGGGTACCAACTTATTCTAACCTCTATACTGGAGGACCTAGTCATCTTTCCCATCGGTGCGATATTGTTCATTTGCTTATTGTGGCTTAGTAGGAAATCCAAACTTACCTAAAAAGAAAATGGTTTTGCTCCCCTTCCAACGTCAACCAAGTTTCTCAGTGGGTCCGGTTCAACTTAGGCTTTCATTTAGTTATTTCTGTTGGTTTAGCGGTTGGGTGTCCATTTTAACCCACAAGCTAAACTTTTTAGCAAGGGCGCAGTTTGAGGGCTGCCCAAAAAACACTTGTTTTGGGGGTCCCTCAAGAACTAGATATACACCCATACGACGAAAGAATCAATTGAGAACGTGAGGTAGGCAACCCGCAACCCTGACTTGGAGATTTGTTGGATTGGATGTTGGTTTGAACGGCCTGCAAGCCAATGGAAGGCGGGCTTGTTAGGTTCTCAGCGGTAGCTGATAGACGACAAGATGTTTCCCATTAGTTGTTTTGAAGGTCCCAAACGTAGGGGATTCCTCTTTCCAGTGTGTAAATGTTAGCTGTCCCACATGGCTGTGAGTCAAAAACTCAAAATGGAACTGTGGCAAATGGAAACAACGACTAACACCTGCGTAACCAACCCTAGCTCTTTAATGTTGAGCCACACCCACATATGTGATGCCATATTATGCATTTCTCCATGAGTTCCTGGACTTTAGGCTGTGGAAAATATTGTTTTAGAGGTCAAAAACAGTTTGTCTTTTTCTGGCCAATCCACGCAGGACGTGAGATGCAAGTGCAAACATACATTTGTACATCTACATAATATGGAGTTTGTAAGTGCCAGGCTGTCCCTACTCACGCTCAAGCAGTGAAACCCGAATCCTTTGCCAGGCAAATGGCAAGAGCGGGAGATCCGGGTGAGTCACGCGACGCAGTGGGAGCAAAAAGGGGCAAGTGTTGTTCAAGGGCGCTGGGGGGAAATGAAATCAGCGGGGGGAAATCACTTGGCTGTGGTTGTCAAAACCGTTTTGGGATCCCATTTTGGTTGGTAGGTGCACCACCCATTTAGAACCTATTTTAGTGGGGATTGGGATGTTCACCGGGGGTACGATTTGGATTTTGACCCATGGCCGCTTGTCCCCTGTAACACCCCTGCAAATGAAGACAACGAAGCCAAACGACAGCGCCTCCTACGAGGGGCTTTTCGAGTGACCTCCGCCTTGCGGCGGCGCCCAGTGATTGGTACCAAAGGGGCCGCTGGAGGGAGATTTCTGGGCGCCCTGACCGGGC